ACTAAATATTTTTAAATAACTTTACACTTACATTTTTATCAATTTTATTTATTTGCATATCCTCATTAGTATTAAGTGTATTTATCATCATATTTATTCTATTTCAGTAATGAATCTGAAAAAGAGCCATAATTTCCCAAGTAGAACTGATAAATTTTATTATAATATCATTCAATTATTCTTAATGTATATATCAATAGTCTAGCTGAAATTTCATTTCCCAAACTATCATTTGAGTAGGTATTCAAAAGCAAAACCACTCTGGAAAAGTTGAAATAAAAAAAAGTTCCAGAGGTCAAAATTAGTTTGGGGAACAATGATAAAACAGTTTTGAAAACTATTTTATTAATAAATTATAATAGCAAAAATATTAATTGACTGATTATTTTGTGTCAAGCATAGAACTAAGAGTTTTTTCACTTTATGTCAACTTCTGGGCAACTGAAGATGGATGAAAGCTATAGATTTTGTTTTGCTTTGCTTTGCTTTGAGGCCAATTCCTGCAGTTTTCAGGGTGTATGCCTGCTCCTGGCTATGCTCTCAGAGATTACTCCTGGCAGTGCTCTGCAGCCATGTGCGATACTAGAGTAGGCTGAATGCAAGTCAAACACCTTCTATTCTGTACTATTTCTCCAGCTCTTAAGAAGTTTAAAATTTAATTAAAATACTTAGTTTATCCTAATTCTATTATAAAGTGGTATTTTATGCAATAAGTGTGAATTATAAAATCATTGGTATAAATGTTGCATAATATAATTTAAGTATAGCTTTAATTGTGTATAATATATATAGGATGTACAATCTTAGGTTACAGAGTGAATACAAGAAGATGATTATTTTATTTATTCATTTTTTAAAGATAGAATAGTGCAGTGAGTATTGTGTTTGGTTATATAGGAGTTCACCTTTTAATTTGTTCTTGTAGGCATCCAATTAACTTTTGTAGTGATAGCACAGCAGGTAGGGCATTTACCTTGCACGCAGCCAACATGGCCGACCCGGGTTCGATTCCTTCGCCCCTCTCAGAGAGCCCAGCAAGCTACCAAGAGTATCTCGTCCACACGGCAAAGTTTGGCAAGCTATCCATGACGTATTTGATATGCCAAACACAGTAACAATTGTCACAATGGAGACATTACTGGGCCCGCTCGAGAAAATCGGTGAACAGCGGGAGGACAGTGACAGTGACAGTGAATTTAAGAAAAGGGTATTGATCCAAATCAAGCATGTGAATCACACATATATTAATATTAGTTGAAAGAGATGTCACCAGTTGTCACATGGCAACACAAAGTTTCACTATTTTAAAATCACAAGGCATGGGGGTATGGTACTGCCAGCAGGTCAACCTGTACCTGCGGGCCAAGTGCATCAGCAGCCTGATGGTGCCTTCAGACTTCTTAAAACCCCAAAATTCCTGTTGTGCCTATGGCCAGACCCCAACAACTTGGGATCAAGTTTACCAAAAAATTAAACAGCCGAAAGTTAGGTATGTGGGAGCCACACCCACAAACCACCTCTGGCTCAGCTATACAAGCTCATTTATTGGCCTTATTGCAGAGGCCAATAAATAAATCTCAAAAGAGATCCAAAGCCACAGTTAATCTTGGACCGGCACATAGCTGAACAGACTGGGATAAATCAGAGGGGGTATGTTGGCCTGGTGGCCAACCAAGCAGAGCCCCAGCAGCCACTTGCTTTCACAATCCAAAATCTCCGCCATATCACCTAGCCTGACTCTACTGTCTCAGGACGGACCTCACCAAGATATAATCTGCTGTAAATTCTGTTATGTGGGTTTTATGACAAATCTCCAGGCATTCTCAGAGTTGGGGTGGGCTACCTCCCCCCACTTCCCAATACACATGGAAGCACTAACAGTCAACCCCATGAACCAACTCCAGTGCCACCCTGTAAGCTCTACTATCGGCCTTGCTTCAGAGATCCCTAAATAAATCTTGAAAGAGATCAAAAGTCTCAGAAAAGCTCGAACCCGTGCATGGCTGAACAGACTGAGGTAAATGAGAGGGGTTGGGTTCACCTATTCCCACTCAGTCAGAGCCCCCAACAGCCACTTGCTTTCACAATCCAAAATCACCGCCATACCCCCAATCTGACTCCACCAACTCAGGATGGATCTCACCAAGATATTATCTGCTGAAAATTGTGTAATGTAGATCTTAGTTCACCAATAGCCCTAACCCAGAGTCACAGCAGCAAGTTCCAGAAGATACCACAGCACTGGAGATCTCTCCAAACCCCATACCAAGTCAATTTCAACGGAGCCCCCCAGAAGGAGCAAGTGTGCTCTCTCCACAAGCCCTGAATGGATGGAAGCCATGGGACCAAGAGCTTCAAAAAGCAAGGTCCAGGTATGCAAGGTCCAGGACTGAATCTCCAGGCCGCATGGCGGCAAAGGACCTGGGCTGTCCCTCCCCAGGTCCCTGCCCATCCAGCTGACTGGCTGTCAATTTGCCTCTGGGCTCCATCTTAGTGCACCAACAGCCTTGGCACAGAGACTCCCAATTGAATCCCAAAATGGATTAGTACCATACAGAGATGTCTCTGGAACCCAATCATTTACAATCTAGAAATTTACAATTGTGGCCGTGCGAGTTCTCATGATACACAAAATGAGCAATGGAAAATAAATTACCTAGTGTCTGCCCCTAGCAGGTAGGCTTGAATGGTGGTGGGAAATTTCGAGCAAAACATAATGCCCAAAATTAGAGAGAGAGTATTGGGGAAATTGTCTGCCATAAAGACAGGGTGAGGACTGGGATGTGTGTGATGGAAAATGCGCACTGGTGGAGGAATGGGTGTTTCATCTTTGTATGGCTGAATCTCAAACATGAAAGATTTGTAACTCTATCTCATGGTGAAACAATGTAAGAAAAAGAAAAGTAATGTGGAGTTCATGCCCAATTAAATCAAAAAATTAAAATAAAATAAAATTACTAGGTAAATAGAGCATGTTTACTTTCAAGCTTCAAAATCAAAATCAAGGACAGGGGTACTATTGCCATCTTCTGTAATAGCAAGTTCTGTATATTAGAGGTGAGTAGACCATGCCAAAGACTGACATATAAACCCATATAGAAAATTATTAGTAGACTCATTCTGTAAAGAAAGCACAAAACTCATCCATTTATCCATCCTTCATTTTTTGTATCTGTTCATTTAAAGAGTATTAATTACCTATCTCTGAAGTCCTGGACACTGGAAATATAATAGCAAACAAAATTAGATATGTTCCCAGAGCTTATATTTGAGAAAACTGTGGGGTATGAAAAAACAAATTAGCAATTACTTGAATAAACATCTGATGACAAACTAAGACAAATGTTGTTAAGCAAATAATAAAAAGAAATGGTTTATGAGAATGTGGAAATATATAATAAAGATAATGTGGTAATATATAACAAAGGGGTTATATGGTAACATATAACAAAGGATACAGACTTAAATTAGGAAGATAGGAAGGGTCTCTCAGAGGAAGAGCCCTTATATTAAGCATAAGACACTAAGTAGAAGTTCCTAATGGAAAAAAAGTGAATGTTTGGAGTACAGAATGCACAGCACATTTGGAGTATAGAAGGTAATGAGAGAGAAGTAAAACATAAAAAATAGAATGAAGACACAACTTGCTCCAGATCAACTAGGGTTTATATTCTAGGTTTATATTTTTTAGTTTATATTTTAGGAGTCAAACAAACTATGGAAGAGTTTAGCATTTTGGATAAAGCTACAGTTTTCATCATTGTGAGTTTATTTTTAGATAGGCAAATGCCAGAATCATAAATGCTAATATACATATATATATATATATATATATATATATATATATATAACTGGAGTGATAGCACAGCGAGGGCGTTTGCCTTGCACGCGGCCAACTCGGCCAACCCAAGTTTGATTCCTCTGCCCCTCTCGAGAGCCCGGCAACTTACCGAGAGTATCTCGCCTGCACGGCAAAGCCTGGCAAGCTCCCCGTGACATATTCGATATGACAAGCACAGTAACAAGTCTCATGATGGAGACGTTACTAGGCCACTCGAACAAATCGAACAACTGGAGAACAGTGTTACAGTGTTATATATATATATATATATATATATATATATATATATATATATATAACATGTTTCTGTTTCAGTTCTGCAAATGGTGGCCAAGATATTGGATAAGGTGGATGGAGAATGACAATGTGAATATGAAGGAGGTTGAGAAATTAGTTACTATACTATCCACATGGTATATCTGACTATTTCAGGCCTCTATACTTAATTTGTTCTGAGAATAGAATCATGTTTTTAAAACACATGATTTCTTTATTGAGGATTCAAATATAGGTGAAATTTGCTTGTGACTTATGAGCAACATTAGATTAGGCTTCATACAGAAAACCTCTACTCTTAGAATTTCTAAAACCACTAACTATATTATGTGGTTCTTTTTTTTATCCACTTCCTTGTTACAATTGGCAGAATACAAAACAATCTATGTAATGAATGCATCTCTAGAGTCATCTGAAGGTAAGAATATGTATGATTTAAGCTGAACAACTGGTATGCTAAAATTCATCCTTGATAAGTCAGTGGAAATCCATGAAAAGCCTATGTTAGAAAATACAACAAAGCACTTAAGGGGCTAAATTTTTCAGTCAAATCCACATGGTCTGTAATCACTACTTTACTAGGCTTTAAGTTGATGAAATTCTCATTTCACTACCCTCAGAAACTTTGAACACTCTTCACTCTCTGATGCTTTAGTGGTCCTCTATATCTCATTCACCTCAATATATTTCCACCAGTTTCTCCCTCCAGGCAGTCAGGCTACCTTTTTATACCTCTGTGACCTGTTTATTAAAATCATATCACTTTAATGGTTATTAAAACAGATGTTAAACAAGTTTTTAGTAAATGGAAGCAGGCTAAGACATAGAATGACTAACTCCAATTTTAATAAAAATGCATTCTCTTTTTCCTGTCCCTTGAAAGTTCATAATAAAGCTGAAGGAAGTACAACCAGAGCACTCACGTTGAAGGATATTTTAAATGGGACATTTTCTTATAAAACCTTTTTTCCATACTGGATTTCAGGTAAGTGAAATATATATGTATGCTTTATTGTTGTTTAGTGCTAATGTATCTCTGTATTAACAAAAGATATAATAACTGAATTGATTATCATATTTCAATCAGAAAAGAGTGATTATTTAGAAACCTGGATATAGTTCCAATAGTAGGTAGAACATATGCTCAGCATTTGGGAGGCCCAGAGTCTGATCACCAGCATTGTGTGCCCACTGTGCTCCACTGCAGGCTGTAGCCCTGATGACCCAGAGGACACCACCACTAGACGGAGCACAAAGCCATCACCCATAACACTGGGGATTTGTATCACTGTATCACTGTCATCCCGTTGAGGGTCAAATTACTCGAGCAGGCGTCAGTAACATCTCTATTCCTCCCAGCCCTGATATTTTAGCAGTCTCTTCTTACTTGTCTTTTCCCAATGATTGGAGGCTCTTTCAGGGTCAGGGGAATGAGACCTGTTATCATTACTGTATTTGGCATATTGAATATGCCATGGGGAGTTTGCCAGGCTCTGCCCCGTGTGGGCAAAATACTCTTGGTAGCTTGCCAGGGTCTTTGAGTAGCATGTGATATGCCTATGTCTGAAACCCCATCAGATATGGTGTAGTAAGAGTGGGAAATGGGTAGGAAGTGTCTTATAATACACACACACACACACACACACACACACACACACACACATATAGCACTGTAGCACTGTTCTCCCGTTGTTCATCAATTTGCTGAAGTGGGCCCAGTAACATCTCCATCATGAAACTTGTTGTTACTGTGTTTGACATATCCAATACGTCATGGGTAGCTTGCCAGGCTTTGCTGTACGGGCGAGATACTCTCGGTAGCTTGCCAAACTCTCCGAGAGGGGTGGAGGAATCAAACCTGGCTCGGCTGGGCTGGCTGCGTGCAAGGCAAATGCCCTATTTCTGTGCTATCACTCCAGCCCATACACACACACACACACACACACACACACACACACACACACACACATCTGTCACTGTCACTGTCCTCCTGTTGTTCATAGATTTGCTTGAGTAGGCCCAGTAATGTCTCCATTGTGAGACTTGTTGTTACTGTGTTTGGCATATTGAATATTTCATGAGTAACTTGCCAGGCTTTGTCGTGCGGGCGAGATACTCTCAGTAGCTTGCCGGACTCTCTGAGAGAGGTGGAAGAATCAAACCCAGGTCAGCCGTGTGCAAGGCAAATGCCCTATATAGAGCTCCAAAATTAAATGCTGTCAATTAAGTCAACTCAAATAAATGATAAGGTTAAAAGGTTAACTAAATTATTTTTCACATTATAATTTACAGTAAAACACCACTATACAGAATAGAACCTTTTATTTTTCTTTTTTAAAAATAAAATTTACATTAAAAAGATTTTTGAAGTAAATTAAACCGAACTCAATCATAATGTATTTTTATTGCAAATGATACTATTTTGAAGCATAATATATTTTTTGTAAAGCATAGAAAATTTAATTTCATTCTTAAACACTCTGAGATAGAATAAAACTGATACTAATAAATATAGCATCTTTGTATGAAGTGTAAAATACAAATCCTTTTCTCATTTCCATCATCAGCTTTTATTTGAAATAGTATATTAAGAGGTATATATTGTACAAGGAGGAAAAGCAAGGTAAGTTTACGAAGTAAAAAATTTCTCTTTGTATAAATGTATTTCCTATTAGAAGAGATCATTTCAAGCTTTGTTTTGCTTTTTATTTAAAGGGCAAGAATATCTTCATCAATCTACAGATAATAACATAATATTTTATAATATTGAAACAGGAGAATCCTATATCATTTTGAGTAATGCCACAATGGTATGTATCTAACCTCAATATCCTCCTCAAAACCTTTTGCTTGCTCATCACTGACCAAGAAATACAGAACAAACTCTGCAAACCTGGTCTAGTCCCATCCTGCCATCTTGGTTCCATGCTGCTCTATAATTCTCCAGTTCTCTCTTCCGGTCACACTAGAGTACTGTCTCTGCCTTCTCTAAATCACTTGATATTTTTTTTTCTGCAAAATCTTACTGTGACAGAAGTTAGATTAAGAACTTAATCCTTATAATCAGGTAAAACCTGGATTTGTCATTTAAGAGTTGAAAAAATATGGGTAAATGTTCACATAGCAACAGCCTCACTATACCTGTTTCTTTCTCTATAAAAGAGCTTAAAATGAGGTCCCCATAACCATGCCACTGAACTCCGTGCCAGACTGTTTTTACTCGGGGCACCTCAGAGGAGGCTGGTGAGAGCCCTCCCCGCCCCAAGGGACCAAGCCCCAGCAGCCTACCTCCACTACCCAACTACTGCCACGCTCCAGGACACTTTCCAAATGTTTGGGCTGAGTCTCACTCATGAGTGAAGTCCCACGGAACCCAGGTAATGTGGAACTTTGTGACCTTGGACACTGGGTTCAATGGGACCTGAGAGCAGACATCCTCTGCCTGCTTCCCCAGTCTCTGGAGACCCAGGGGTCACACCCATAAGCCACTCCCTGATAATCTCCTCATCAACCACCCTCCAGAACCCATGGCTGTTTCTCCCTGAGCTTAAAATGAAGCCCCCAAAGCAATGCTACCGGACTCCTTGTCAGGCTCTTTTTATTCAGGGTGCCCCAGAGTGGCCGAGTGAGAGCCCTCCCCGCCCCAAGGGACCCAGTCCCAGCAGCCAACCTCCACTACCCAACCACTGCCACTATCCAGGCCTCTTTCCACACACTCGGGCCGAGCCTCACATATGAGTGAGCATATTCCTGGACCACGCGACCACTTTCGCGACCACTTTTGCACATCATAAGACACTCCCTACCCATTTTCCATAATTACCGCATTATATTTGATGGGGTTCAGACTCATAGAGGGAAATATATATGTATATGCCTCTCGAAGAGTCCAGCAAGCTACCGAGAGTGTCCCGCCCACACAGCAGAGCCTGGCAAGCTACCCATGGCATATTCCATATGGCAAAAGCAGTAACAATAATGGGTCTCATTCCCCTGACCCTGAAAGAGCCTCCAATACGGAAGTTTCATTGGGAAAAATGAGTAAGGAGAGGCTGATAAAATCTCAGGGCTGGGATGAATGGAGATGTTACTGGCGTCTGCTTGAGTAAATCAATGAACAATGGATGACAGTGACAGTGACAGTGATAAAAGAGAAATAATGAATCTTTTGTAAATTGAGATCAGAATTAGAATGAATTAACTGGGAAAGATAGCTCCAAGGCTGGAATGTGTGCTTTGTATATAGGAGGACTCGGTTGGTCTCTGAGCCTGCGTGATTTCTCTGAGCACAACTGGGAACAACCCCCAAGCACTGAACTAGGAATAGTCTCAGACCACTGCTAGGTGTTCTCTGAGCAAACAAAGGATTAGAGTGAAAAAAATCACTCTAGAGGGCTCACCCACTTGTACTCAGGGCTTAGTTATGGCTCTGCACTCAAATATCACTCCTTGAGAGTTCTGAGGTATTGGGGTTCAGGGTTGTTCAGGGTTTGGAGTTCAGGGGTATTCAGGGGATGTTGGGGATTGAATCCTGATCAGTCTTGTTCAAGGTTAATGCCCTACCCACCATATTATTGTTCTGGCCCCAGAAAGTGAAAGAAATAATTTAAATGAATAACAGTTGACAGTATTCAGGACAGTGTTTAAGACTGGATAAACACAAAATAAACTGTAACTATGATATTTGTGCATCTACAATTCTGTCCTTCTGGAATTTTAATCCTAATTTCACCATTCTCACCTGGAGAGATAAGGTAGGGGAGAAGACCCTTGTATCATTTACACTCCAGGCCCCAGTTTAATCCGGGCACTGAATATTATCCCCAAGACACTGAGAGGAATGCTCACTGAGCAGAAAGCCAGGTGTAAATCCTGAGCACCTTTGGGTGTGGGACAAAAACAAATGTCAACAACAATAAAAACCTACTTATCTTGTTCTTTCTTTTTAAAAAAATTTTTGGAATAAGTTCTAAATAGTTTTGTGATCTAACCTGTGAACATTTTTTCTTGTTCTAATTACATTTGGCAAACAATAAAGTTACTCTCTAATTTATTAATTTTATTCCTATGTATTATAATTTTATCTCTTTCACACACACTGATTATCTCCCTCTTCTATCCCCTTTTTCTCATTCTTTTAAGCCTCATCCTCCTTAATTTGTCATTAATATTTGTTGGTTTTTCTTTTGTTTTGCATGTACATCAGTCTTAGCTCCTTAAATTGCACACATAGGTGAAATCATTCAATACTTGTCCTTTCTCCTTCTGATTTACTTTCATTTTTGCATAATTCTTTCAGACTCTTTCCTGAAAGAATTTTTTTGCAGAGCTTCATATTTTCATAGCTGAATAGAATTTTGTTGTGTGTATGTATCATATCTTTATTCAATCATTTTTTGTCAAGCATTTCCACTGTTTCCATATTTTACCTGTTGTAAATGATGTTGCAGTAAACTTTGGAGTAAATATGCATTTTTTATTAATATTTTTGTCTTTCATTCCAAGTCATAGTGAGAGTTTCCTTATCTTTGCACCTGCCAATCGTGTTCTTTTGATGCAAGGCATTCTCAGAGGCATAATCTCATTATGATCTTATCATAAACTTCCCTGATAATCAGTGATGACATAAATAAATGTTATAATTTATTTGATAATATTTAATAAATAATTTTAATATTACATATTATTAATAATATAGCAGGACCTGAGGTATATCTGTTTTCATGCTAACATGAATAACAATAAATAATTTAATTTAATAATATTTAATAAATCAGTGAAGAAATAAAATCAGCATTTTATTACACACACTATATACATATATTTTAGGAAATACCTATTCAAATCTTTGTCCTATGTTTGCTTTGTATTTGTTTTTGTTGTTGTTGTTAAGCTAGATGAAGTCTTTTTGTTATTATTTGGAGCCACACAAGTTGTTCTCAGGGCTAATACCTGGCTCTGCACTCAGAGATAACTCTGATGCTTGGGAGACTATACTTGGTGACAAAGAACAAACCTGGGTCAGCTGAATGCAAGATGAGCTTCTTACCTGTTGTACTATCTTTCTGGACTAGACCCTACATTCATGTTTTTAATCCTTTAATGCCAAGATTAGTTGATGCTTTCATTCACCATGCAACCAATAAACCTCATGTGAATTTGGTCACACTTTCCTAAATGCTTCGTAATATTTTGTTTATATTTTTACAGAACTTTTAACTTATAAGTAAATTTCTCAGTTACAAATTTAACACTATAAGCTTCTTGGAATGTTAAAGTATATTTTATTTCTCCCACTCTTCTCTTATTGTATGTCATGAACTTATTTGTATATAGTACTGTACATGAACCTTTAATAAATTACACTGAAAGTATATGTATGTGAAGCATATCAGTGACTTGAAATTTAGTGTTTTGGTATTCTAATTGACTTTTTCATAATTTCAGAAAAGTGTTAATGCTACAAATTATGGCCTATCACCTGATCGACAATTTGCATATCTAGAAAGTGATTATTCAAAGGTATTGACTATTTAATTTGGATTTATTATAACTATCTGATTTGGATTTGTTTGGATTTGGATTTATTATATCTAAATATTTATAGATATTTATTATTTCTAATTATTTTTCTAAAACATAGGTTGGTTTATAAAAAAGTAAGCAAGTCTCATTTTCTGTCTAAAACTTCAAGAAATTATTACAAATTTAGCTATTCAAGTATGCATAATAATTCAGAATTTGATATTTTTGCCTGCTTATCCTCATGTGGTAGAAACTGCTTTTCACTGCTTTTCATTCAAGGGCACTAATATTATTCAAATATGGAAGAATTGTACCTATTTTTCTAAATATAATTAAAAATATTACTCAGTAGTTAACTCACATTTGTGCTTAAGCAAGATAAAATACAGTTAGTGGTAGCCTATACTTAAAAAAAAACTGGTGTAGAAGACTAGAGAGATAATACATAGATTAAGAGTCTCCAATATTACTTGGTTTCTCTCACATTTCTAAATGCAGCCTGGAAACCCCCAAGCACTTTTGCACTGACTCACCAATCTAAATATCTTTGGGAGGGACTCCCTGGCCTCTTGAGGACTATTTAGGCAGCTCAGTTCCCAAAACAGAACAAAACAAAACCAATACCGATATTGGAATATCAATCATGGGGCAGAACAATACTACAACTACCCATCAAAACATTTCCATTTACTTAAACTTCCTTTCAGAAATTAATCATCTTATTTTTCCTCTGTATACATCTTCAAGGTAATTCTTTTACTAAAGTATCAGAGGATCTATCAAATAAAATTGTAATAATTATTTTCAGATCAAGATCCTTTTGTTTTAACTACCATTTTTTTAATGTTACTTGAGATGCAAATTTCCCTTAATTCAAAGAGAAAAAGTCGATCTTTCCCCTTTCTGGTTGTTCAATCAGTTGATTATTTTCTAATGAAGCAAATCCTACCCACCAGCAGTCATCAGAGAAACATGCCTCAACTTGCTGAAATTTCTTTTCCAAGAATTTGGAAACCTTTTTATGAAATAAAATACAAAACAATACTTTCTTTATAGACCACAACATACCTATGTTTAATAACCGGGAAAAAAAGAGCTTTTTCTTCAGGAATATCATCTTATTTATTTTTGTAGTTTTAAATGTTAAAAAAGAAACTGTACTCAAAGAAAGGCAAGTAATTTATGTTTATTCAAATTCTCTTCAACCAAATTTAAAGATTATTTATTTTCCCAGTTCAGGACGTCCTATGGGCCAAGAAAGTCATAGTGGTTTTATTTCAATCAAGGTAAAGCATAAAGGGAAAATTCTTAGGATAGAGTATGTTAAAGAGAATCTTTTTATATTTCGGTTTTTTTATGTCTTTGGATATGCTTTTTATGGAGTGAGGGTTGCATCACTGCTGAGATTAGTTCTGGAACTTGGACAAACGGCACAAAAGTCCACAGTAAAACTCTAAATGAAGACTCTGGGAATTGAAACATATCCTTTCTAATGCTTGTGAAAAATATTTCTTTTTTACTTCTAACCTTTGAGTTAAATGATTTATTATTATGCATTATTAATGTACTTCTAAAAATTTCAATTGTCTTTATGTCCTTTCTGACAGCTTTGGAGATACTCTTACACAGCAACATATCACATCTATGACCTTAGGAATGGGTAAAATTTCACGTCTATTTATATTTTTAAATATATATATATATAGTCAATCCTCTATATCTGTGGGTTCCCCAAATGTAGATTCAGTCAATTATGGTTTGGAAATAGTAGAACTACAATGATTGAACCTGTACTGATAATGTTGCATATGTACAGGCTTTTTTCTTGTCACTATTTCTTTAGCAGTATAATACAACAACCATTTATATAGCATTTTCATTCTATTAGATATAACTAGCCTAGTTTGTTTTAATGTTCATGGGAGGCTATACATAGGTTATACACATTATCAAAATCACTTTATATAGGAATTTGTGCATCTTTGGTACCTGCAAAGGTCTGGGAATTAATTTTTTTTAATTAGGTAGATGGACTAAGAAAATAATTTCTTTGCAGGAGAAATAATATATGAAGGGCTAAGACTGGAGTGTTTGAGAAACTTAAAGTAGGTCAGTTGATTTGAAATTGGAGGAGAGCAGGCTGACTAGTGGGAGGTAGTACAAGGTCGGGAATGAGTTGAGGCCAGGATAATAATAAGGAAACTATTAAAAAGAGTTTAGATCCCATTCTGATGACAATAGGGAATCACTGAAGGGTTTTAAGTGGAAATGACATGATCAGATTTGCACCTTAAAAAAATCACTCTCACCAAGTATGGACAATGAATTGGTTTAGTTACTCATCTTACTGTGATATCCTCTTTGCTGTTATATAAAAGGAAAAATAATTATATGGCTTGAAGAGGTATTGAAAACTCTTATGGTCTATTTCACCTTTTGTTTGACAAGAATACAAAAATTTGAAAAAAAAATTATCTATCTTCTTTTAAATGTTCAGTAAAGAATGACCCTGATCTCCTTAAACTGTCAATTAAGGAACTGAAATTGCTTTATATATCAGAATCAATCTAAATTCATCTAAAAAACTCCATGTCTCTTTCTTCTCTGTGATCCATATTACCTCCAAATTCAAAAAGTATTTCTTGAGCACCTACTATGTAAAATGAAGATATAAGGGATATAAGTGAGTCCATATGCCAACTCCTATTCTTAAGAAATCTTTATAATAGTGAGATGGAAACTTTACTCTTTCAGTACAATCTAAAGATCATTTCTTTTTTTCATCATTGTGAAAGTTTTAATAATCTTCCTGTATTAAAATTCACCAAATTTAACATTGCAAATTGCTCTTTTTAAAAATTCTTTACAGAAGATTTATGGCCTAAAATATTTTTCAAAATATTTAGTTTTTGTGGGGCTGGAGTGATAGCACAGTGGGTAGGGCGTTTGCCTCGCACGCGACCAACCCGGGTTTGATTGCCAGCATCCCATATGGTCTCCTGAGCACTGCCAGGAGTGATTCCTGAGTGCAAAGCCAGGAGTAACCCCTGAGCATCGCCAGGTGTGACCCGAAAAGCAAAACAAAATTTAATTTTTGTGCAGCAAATTAAACTACTATTATTTTGCCTGCAGTTATCTAATTTACCATCTAATTTCGGGGGGTGGGGGACCAGGGAACTCAAACATAATTTAAGAAGCAAGGAGTGGAAAATAGGTTAAAATTCAAGATAAACCTAAATAATACTAATTCTAAATATTCTGTAAACTTCTAGGAGTCTACCAAGATCTGTCACAGGAAAAATAGAATCTAGTTTTGGCTCCAAGATAGGAAAGGAATCTGAGGAAATGATCACCTTTATAAAAAGGAGCCCATGCCTTTTCCCTGATACCTTTAATGGTTTGAGAAATGTAGAAAGTGGCAGCTGATTGCTTGCTGTCGTGAAGGAATATGTGCTGAAATTTATCAAAATGTTGCTCTCTAGACTGTTGCATAAATGATTCTATATTATACACCAACCTAAAGCAGTCTTAATATATCAAAGGTAATATGACAGTGAAACAAAATTCTAAAGCAGGTGAAAGTTACTTCTTTGCAAGTACCCGTAAGTATTTTTCTCAACAATCTTCTTTATCCTTAGGGGGCTAATAATGTGTTCTGCAGTCCAGTTTATCACTGGAGCAACAAGGATCTGCTTTCTCCATGACAAACTCTAGTTTCTCCAACCAATTTCAGTGGCATGATCTTCTACTGTTTTAGGCCTTATGATTTATAATTAATTAATAGTTAAATTAGGTTGTGTGAGTTACAGGTATTTTAAACTTGAGGAGAAGGGGAGAAGGAAAAGTATGAATATCAGGCACATATTTGGTCCGGATTGGAGATACTTTTTTGGGAAGGTTAGATCCTTTCTTTAGGCTCCTTGAATTATACCTTGGAAACAGGTCTTGTTTTTCTTCTCCTTGAAAGCAGTCTTGAAACAAATGTAATCGTCAAAAGGAAGATAGTCAAAACTTAAGTATAGCATCAAATGAGTGTTTAACACTTAAAAAAATCTGAACACATTCTTGCAGCAAAACCGCAAAAACTTTACAATGCACGTCAGTCAATTAAGTATTGCAGGGTGATTCTCAGCATCAAAGTGAGATTTTTGGCCAATAGGATATTTGAAATTTCTACATGGATGAGGACTTCACAAGCTTAAGGCATACTGCCCAGTATACGATCTGTTTTTCAGTTTTGCTTGAGATCAGATGTTCCTTTCCTTTTCTGATTTCAAGTCAGATCCCTGGGGAGATTGTCAAATGGCATCTTATTTTCAAAAATTTGAAATGCATATGCATTCGCAGAGATGGGGGTTGTGAATGAGAATGTGGAAGAGTACATATTAAACTTCAGTACAATTATAGAATTTTAGAGCTGGAAGACAACTCAGAGACCATCTCAGCTTAGTGTGTACAAATTTTATACAATTCTAAGGGTTCAAAGACTAGAGTTTAATTAGGGGTCTGCCAAGAACTAGCAACATAACCTCAAAGAATCATATCATTTCTTTAATCTCATGCAATTTTCCTCTGTAAACTGAGCATGTTTTATTAGTTTCTAAGAATATTCCTACTCACGCTGCCTATGAATTTTTAATCTATTCATTCCACACTAAGGGTCAAGAAACTGACACCAAGTGAAGTTAAATGACTTTGAAGTAACTAGTGACAGGTTGCAAATGTTACCCAAATTTTCAGAACCTTGTACCCAGTTTTCTTTCCACTGTGTTTGAAGAAGCAGAGAGGACAGAAAATCCTTCAGTTTTAATGGTCTTATTTGTTTATTATTTTTTGCTTGTATTTGAGTAGAGCATAAAACTATAAGGTGTTTTATTTTTTTTTCCTTCTAGGGAGTTTGTGAGAAGAAATAGACTTCCCCGTCAAATTCAGTATTTATGCTGGTCGCCTGTTGGTAGTAAATTAGTAAGTGTTTAAATTATAGAAGTGTTTGATCATTTAAATAAAAGAGGAGCCATTTGATTTTGGCCTTTGTTAAATTTCTTTGCCTGCAAGAAAAAAAATGCATTCATGACTATTTTAGTCGTTAAAAACGGGAAGAGTTTTGATAAATTGAAACCCATCTGAGAATTCCGCAAAATCTCAAGTTCATGGATAGACTTCTTTAAATATCGCAGTCAAAAACTTTATCCATATACTCAGCCAGAATGCGTTGTGCCAGAAAGCTCAGGAAAAATATGGTTTTCACAAGTTTCCCAGACTAGCTTCAGACAACATAAAATTTTGTCCAAGCTCTTATTTAAGGACTCTAAATAAAGATTAGATCTGGCTAGCTATTAATATTCAGAGATTTATTTGACTCTCTGTCAATATACATATTTATTTGAGTAATCAAACAAGTAATCTATAGTAAACTTTTTTATTTATATAAAATAGACTTAAACAATCATAATTGATAATACATGAATAAATGGGGCTTTAACCTATTATATTGATATTTTTGCTTGTCAGTATCTATGTCACCATCACTTTTGAAGATCTGAGGTTAATAATTATCACCATAACATATACGTGTGTATGAGTGTTTATATATATGTTTGTATATGCATATATATGCACATACTATTGTATGTTTTAGAAATTATCACTCTTTCAGGCATATGTCTATCAAAACAATATCTATTTGAAACAAAGACCAGAAGACCCACCTTTTCAAATTACATATAATGGAAGAGAAAATAAGATATTTAATGGAATACCAGACTGGGTTTATGAAGGTAAATCTTTTTTAGTCCTTTTGGCTTAGAGTTTTAGCTGAAAATAATGGCATACATTTAAGAGAATTTAGGTGAAGGGCTAATTATTTAAGCAAATGATGATACGTCTGAAAGTAATAGTTCTTAAACAAGACATAAATGTTCTAAAAGAGAAAACCCTTATACCAGGGATATTGGTGGTGGGGAATGTGCACTGGTAGAGGGATGGATGTTTGATCATTGTGTGATTGTAACCCAAACATGAAAGCTTGTAACTTTCTCAAGGTGATTCAATAAAATTCTTTAAAAAAGAGAGAAAACACTTCTTAGCAGAAAACTGGTATTTATTTTCAAGAATATTATAAAGTGGTAGTAATAATTTACATTCCAAGAAGTATATTATATTTAGATGCCATGTTAGTACCTTTTTTCGGGTTTGTTTTTCTTGAAAAAACAAATCTTTTCCCAAAGTTTAACAATTGCCTATAACATTTTTAGTAAAATATTCTTAGTTTGTGATACTCTCATGAATTTGATCTTCTTTGTAGGTCATGTAGGAACCAGAACATAACTAGATTTTAAAAATTCTTTTTGTTATCACCTTTATTTTTAAATAATATAACTGAATTAAACCTATTTTTGTTTCTTTTTAATTCTCAGGAAAGGCAATTTTAAATAGTCATGCATCCTGCATTATAATTACAGCTCTCTATTTTGACTAATTCAAGAATTATAAAACTAGAAGTTTTCCCAAAAAGAAAATTATTTCAGACATATATTATTTATTAAAATAGAATTTTATTAATGCCAATTCATAACAAGACTTAGTTTTGTTTGTCATGGAGTACAAGGTTAAACTAATCCTCTAAAATCAGACTAATTAATATAATGAAGGTTGTATATGTCACATCCACACTTTTATTTTAGTCAATAAGTTGCTATTGACAGTGTACTTTGAAGTATCTATAAGAGAATTTTAATAGTAGAATGTAATTATAGTTAATATGCTTATTTGTCAGAGGAAATGCTTGCTACAAAATATGCGCTCTGGTGGTCTCCTAATGGAAAATTTTTGGCATATGCAGAGTTCAATGATACAGAGATACCAATTATTGCCTATTCTTATTATGGAGATGAACAATATCCTAGAACGATTAATATTCCATACCCAAAGGTATGTTGAAGACTGTAAGCAGATGATTTTTTTCTTATATCAAAATGAGCAATCAATACCATGAATAGAGGTGGAATCAACAAGTTTGGAGAGTTTCTTGTTCTTGTGCATTGTAAGGCAAACATTGTACTGTGCTCTATTATTTATGTGGACATCTGTTGCTTTGGACATCTGGTTGTGCTGGATGAAGTAGATTTGCAAAATCCATTGCAGAATCTTTGAAAAACATATGGTCTAAATCATAGAGGAAAAACAAGCTTAACTTAATTTTCATTTTTTCATATTTTATGCTCTAAATTCAGGGCAAAGTTCTATTTGCAAGTCTCTCTTCATTTCTCATATATATGCAAACTAGATTGGGAAATATAAATGTTGAACTTGATGTTTGTGTCAGGTAAAAACAGGCTTGATCTTTCCTGGATATGAAAGATAATTTTGTGAAGTTAATTTCTTTTTTGAAGGACTTAAATACCATATAAGCCCAAAATTTCTTACAAAAATATTCTAGTTCTTTGCATATATACTTTTAATTTAGTCCTATGTCTGAAGAAAGGAGACTTATATGTATAATCAGAGAATGGTTAGGTTACAGAGAGAAGCATTGCATACTAATTTAATTTAGATGAAAAATCTAAATGAAGGGCATTAAAGCATAATCTCTCTCCTCTCCCTCTCTCTCTCTCTTCTCCGCCTTTCATTTTGCATTTTGCATAGCAATGAAAGTTATTTTAGAATGCAGTTCTATAGTGTCTATTGTTTTACTGGAAAAAAGAAACTCTATCATGGATGGATTCACCATACCCTCTATGTTAAAAAGATGAAATAAGTGTTCATCAACAGGAGTGGATTCCTAAATTAGTCTTTGTGGCCACTATAAGAAAAATAAAAATTAGATAGTATTTTATGTTTAAAAACTATGGTTATGTTATGTTATGTTTGCTATTCTATGCTATGTTATGTTACATTGTGTTATGGGGAAAGGCAATGAGCATGAGATGAATGTTGGGACCGGACAGATAGTACAATGGGAAGAGTGATTTCCTTGTATGTGGTCTACCTGGTCCAATCCGAGAACCACATATAGTCCCCCAAGCCTCCTCAGGAGTGATCCATGAGCAAAGAGCAAGGAGTAAGCCATGACTTTCCTGTGTGTGATCCTGAAACAAATATAAACCTGAAGACTGTTAACGTGGATGCTTAAAAGCTATGTAGTTAAGTCTGAAAGCTGAAAGTGTTTTAAAATGAGAGGTGTGACACTTGGGATCTGAGATGTGAAAGACTCGTATCTTTGGGAGTGTTTAAGGCAGGAGGAAGAGATTAAGAAATCTAGAGCTGAGCACCAAGTGACATTGACAGGGAAATTGAGACCCGAATTCTCTTATTTCATTTAATATTGAAGTGGCAGGAATTTCTAGCTTTGTCTAACAGGTAGAACAACTCCAAAGAACCATAGAGTCCCAGCTAAACCTTGGGGAAATAGAGAGATTAGAGGAAACCCTTGAAAAATCTGTAGATAAATCCAAATAGTTTGGAGTCATTCATACTGGATACCAAAACCATGAAGATTTAAATTACATTAAAGTTATGATTTGTGTTTTTATATGGTACATAAGAGGGAAACTCTAAGACGCTGGCTGGACATGAATCATGTTTTCATGTAAGTTTAGGTCTTATAATAGCACAGAAATCACAAAAGAATGCAAATATAAGTATTCTGGTCACTATTTAAAGTAAGATTTCTGTAGTCATTTGGGGGGTTTGGGGAAGGAGACAATAGTAATAATGTAACAAGCTAGAAAACTGCCATTGTTCCAGACCAAATTATAAAAGAATTTTTCATGTATAAGTACCTTTCATTTTTTTATACTTTATTCTCATCTTCCAAAGTCAATCAGAGAAGAAAAGTAGAAGGGGTCAGGGAGATGGCTCTAAGGCTAGAGTGTATGCTTTACATTCAGAAACCGTGGGTTCAATCCCCAGCACTGCATGATCCCTTGATTAATGCTGGGTGACATCCCAAAGTATAGCTCTTAGAGTAACCTGTGAGTGCCACTAGAGTGTGGCCCAAATATAAATAATAGATAAAAACAGAAAAGAGAATATGGATCATCTGACAGCATTTTCATAACTAAAATATTTTCTTGTGAATCAACATTTCCTCATTTGTCATTTAAAATGTATGTTTTCACTCTGCTTGACATAATTGTCCTCCTAGGAAATACGAAGTGAGGTTTCTGGTTATGATTGGAATATTTTCAAAAGCAATATACTCAACAATATTAGCTCATTCATAATATGCCTAAATTTCCAAGTGTTTTTAAAATAATGATGATACTTAGAATTTTATGATCTTATGTATCTCTATTTTCTTGCAGGCTGGGGCTAAGAATCCTGTTGTGCGGGTATTTATTATTGATACCACTTACCCTGAACATGTAGGTCCCAGAGAGGTGCCAGTTCCAGCAATGATAGCTTCAAGGTATAAAAATTGGGGCTGGAGCGATAGCACAGCGGGTAGGGTGTTTGCCTTGCACATAGCCGACCCGGATTCGATTCCCAGCATCCCATATGGTCCCCTGAGCACAGCCAGGAGTAATTCCTGAGTGCATGAGCCAGGAATAACCCCTGTGCATTGTCAGGTGTGACCCAAAAAGCAAAAAAAAAAAAAATTCTAAGATACTTCTCACTATTCAACTGAGTTTTCACACTACTATTTCTTCATCAGAACATTATACTTCTTTGCTAGTGAGTTTACAATGTGCACACACACAATAAATAGATGAAATTTATATGTAAATCTAAATATATTCAAACTTAAAAATCATGAATTGAGTTTTAAAATTTCTTTTAAAATATTAGCATTTTTCCACATTCATCACCACAGTAACCAATCTAAATGGTATTTTTCTCAGATACGTGAATGAAAACGGAGTCAAAGGTAAAGATAGTAAATGCATGTGAATGCTTAACCTAGTTTCTTTCCAGGGTGTCCTACCTTGTTTGTCTCCAGCCAGGGTTTGTTGATGGATGTTTATTGAGTATATCTGACAAAGAAGACACAAAAGCCAATTCTCTTCAGATATTATCAATTCTTACGAGAATACCATCTATTCTCATTTATCTGTTTATAGAATTACTTGGGAATTAGCGATAGGCATTCTGTGACATAAAATATTTTCATTTCCCTACAATAATAGCTTATATAGATGTAGTCTGATTAATCCCAGTTTGAGCAACTTCCTAAGCCCTTTTCAGGTTCTTGTGATCTATTAAATTTAAATTGATAAAAAAAAAATTGGTATTTCCAAGCTCTGCCAGGCGGTGTCTTTCTATCTCTGCCCAAACCCTAGAAGCTTTCCATCTTGCCCTCTCTTCCTTCCTCACGAAAGGGAGACAGAGAGGATTGAGTAATAGATCTCTGAACAGAAAATGAACTTCATCAGAGATCTGATGATGTGTTTGTATAATAAAAAGTTGCTTTTACCCATCTCAACCCAGTTTATAAAACAATTGACTTAGTACACATTTTTACCTTTTTATTAAAATGTCATTTTCCTTAGGAAATAATGAAAGAATAAGGTTCTATATAAGAGGCCAAGAGTTATGTTTGGGCATCCATAAGTGCTAACAATTTAATAGTGATAGCTAATATTTCTGGAGTACACTGTAGAGAAAACATAATTGTCAAGCACTTAAAGTGTTTAGCATTCTCTGCAAATTCTTACAGCAATCTTTGAAATTGGTAGTATTATTATAATACCCTATTATATAAAAATAAAGATGGATAAATGAATGTCCCAAAGTAGTAAAAGAGAGAAGACTAGACTTGAGACTGAAAATTCTTCCAACCCTGTGACTTCTTTTATAAAGATCTCCAAACTCAGTGAATAATTTTATTGAGGCACTTTGTCAACAAGTTCATCCTTAGAGACAAATAAACATTACTACCAGTTATTAACCCTATCACGAATCACGACCATCCTGTTATTCGTCGATTGCCTTGAGCAGGCCCCAGTAACGGCTCCTTCATCCTAGCCCTGAGATTTTTAAAAAAGTGCCATGTTCAAGGCTCTTTCAGAGTTAGGAGAATGAGACCCATCATTGTTACTGGTATTTGGCATATTGGGTACGCCACGGGGAGTTTGCCAGACTCTGCCGTGTGGGCAGGTTACATTTGGTAGCCTGCCAGTTTGTCCAAAGTAGGAATGAAATAATAAGATGTCACACGGCTGCGAATTTTATAGCTTGGAAATACCAATTTTTTTATCAATTTAAATTTAATAGATCACAAGAACCTGAAAAGGGCTTAGGAAGTTGCTCAAACTGGGATTAATCAGACTACATCTATATAAGCTATTATTGTAGGGAAATGAAAAATTTTATAGTCTCTGAGTCTTGGCCATTGATGGGATTACACGGCACCAGGGGGCCAGCTGGTAGGTGTGACCCCGCCTACTGGAATTTGGAGGATCTGGGTGGAAGATGCTCAGCTCCGATCCAAGTAGGCTTGGAGATCTCAGCCCCGGGACCCGCGTGCCTTTGTTCCCCTGCCGGTACCTTCATGTGTGTAGAGAGTGGTCTCAGCATGGTGGTGGCTGGTTCTGGAGGTCTTCGGCTATTTACCCTATATGTGATCAATATTTAGTTAATCATCATGTCTGATTATTATACTAAGCCAATGTCATTGTTATATACCATATTTAATGAAATCTACATTCCACTATAATATTATATAGTTTTCACATGCACATCATTATAAATCTGTATAAACTATATAGCATTCATGAATATTAGCAGGTAAAACTTGACTTCCCACACAAACCTGCATGAAGAGAAAAACTTTTGCCATACTTGCCTCCCTCTCAATTAGTCAAAGTGAGAAACTGAGTTTACTTATAATTTTACTTATATAAAAATAAACTAGTTTATGCATTTTCTGCTTCAGATTTATCAAAAGCTTTGCTAATATATCTGAAATTCTCTCATAAGAGGTCAAAATACAAAATGGGAAAAATGATCAAGTGTAAAATTATTTCTTTAGATGAATTAGTTCCCATGTAGATATTATTTAAAGCAGCAGATACCTTCAAATTTTCCCTTCAAAGAAAGAAAAATGTTGCTTACCTATGGAATAAATCTCGTAAATAAAAACATGCAACCATTAAAACATAAAAAATATATATATTTAATATATTGATTTATGTCTGTGACTATCTCTTTGAATTTGTTTGCTTGCAGTGATTATTATTTCAGTTGGCTCACATGGGTTACTGATGGAAGAATTTGTTTGCAGTGGCTAAAAAGAATACAGAATGTTTCCGTCTTGTCAATATGTGATTTCAGGGAAGACTGGCAAACATGGGATTGTCCAAAGGTAGGTAATATTCAGACCAAAAATATATTTCTAAAGACAGAAGAACAAGTGTGGAGACTTATTTTCAGATAACATTTTATATTATAAAGTTAGAATTATTACATTCAACTTCTGTTCGCAAGGAAAATGTCGTAAGTCTTTTATTTTTATTAAATAAATACAATTTTTCATTGTTTGTAGAATAACTTGAGCATTTGAAATTAAATGGGGTGAAATACTGAATGAAAAGTAATTCAAAATTGAGAAAATTGAGTATGTGGTTCTCAAACAAATCCATTTTTTTTCCACTCAAGAATATCTGGTAGGAAACACAATAACAAATACAAAAAGGTAAAATGACTCTGCTAGGGAAACATATTCTTCAGAAGAAAATAGAGTAGAAATTAAAATGGGGCCTGGGGAAAATTGAAAAGTAAAACTTTCAAAAGAAAAAAAAATATCCATCCTATGACTATTGTTGGTGATGCTATTTTTTGTTGGGATAGAGGAGTTCACTCCTAGTGGTGCCCAGGGGATGGACCATGCTTTGCCAGCTATACAATGTGGGTCTCTTTCATACAAAACTCGGTTCTCTAAGTCATATATTGAACCCCAGATATTCCTATTTTAATATCTGAAGTTAGCTATTGAGAACAGGACAGAAATATCAGATCAAATTATCCTGCTACTCTGTTAACTTAGGCAAGTACTCCATTGTATGCTAATTATGGGAGAAAATGAAAAGAAATCAGGCGCTGATTTATTTTTGACTTTTAATTGTTTCTATTGCTTAAATCTAAACATAATCTGTTGAATTAATGAGCCAGGAAACAACTTCACCAATCTAAAAGCTTTAAAATAGGACTGCTCATAAGTACTCATAAAAAAAGAAAACTAAGAAATACAAAATGTTTATTTTTAAATAGGAAATTTGATGGGTACATTTCATGAGACTTCTAATTACGAAGAAATGTTTCATTAAACCAAATATAGAATAAACAAATTTTATAAAGTAAAAAAAAATACAAAGCAATTAAAGTAAATCACTAAATTCCATCTAGAAATCAGGACATTATATTTTGCAAGGAAAAAGTCAGATGAATCTGTTTGGAAATATATCAGGACTATAATAGTCAACATAACTTAGGCTAAAAATATTTTTTAAATCACTAGTGTGTATTTGAGATGCTTAACTAATTTTGATGGAATATGCTAGAAGCTTATTTTTATCTATTTATAATTTGATATACAAAGCAGAAATATTTTGGCTTTAAAGCAGTATGCTAAGCAAAGAAAAAAATTGAGTAGGAAATCTTGGTTGTGCTAGTTAATTAGAAACCATTCCTCTGATTAGTCACTTTTAGATAAATATATCTTTAATATTTTTATTGAATCTATGTCTTAGGAATCACTTTAATTTCATCAGTTTAAAATTGTAATGTTGGTCATTTACATACAATTTTTAGCTTTTAAAACTAGGCATGTTAAAACTGTGATTGCTTTGGAATCTGAAATTCTAATTTATCAAAATCTGAGACAACTTTTTTCCAAACTGACAGAACATATAAAATGCTCATTCAATGACATGTGCAACTCCCTGGAATATAAACTTTAGCTTTATGGCCAAAAACGGTGCTTAAATTTAGACTGCCAGGTTTGAATAACCTTAAGATCTCAAAACAACCACTGTTTCAAAATATTCTGATAAATATATGGAACACATTTACAGATTTAAGAACAGTGTTGAACTTTCCAACAATGATACTCACACACACATCTCATGACTAATGTCAGAGAGAGAGAGAGAGAGAGAGAGAGAGAGAGAGAGAGTGAATGAAAGAATTTTGAAAACAAATATTTAAGGTTAAGTGAAGTAGCAACATTTGATTCAGGTTAGAAGTCCTACTCAGAACAAAGAGGTAAAGGAAACTGGCACAAGCTACTTGTATATAACCATATTAATAAAATTTACTGAAAATGTTATTTAGGGAAAATACCTTTCATCTAATACTTCCTTCTTTGCGAGTAGTATTAATTTTATCATTAATACTAATAAAGGAGAATAGTATTAATTTTATCATTAGGACTAAATAATAAAAATGTTTTAGTGCTTAAAAAACTGTTGATCTAATCTGTTCTCTCTATTGAACCATTGCTATAGAAAAATTTCAGTTTTAAAAGTTTATTATTTTCTTGCTTTTTCAAACAGAACACTCTCCCATAGTTTCCTTTTTTCTTCAGTCTATTCTTTTCTTTTCCAGCTTTTCTTCTGGCTTCCCAGTAGATCTTAATATTTCCCTAAACTAATGTATTAGAAAGCTAGCCATTTGTTTTAATAACACCTCCCCCCCAAAAAAAAGCCAGTGGGTTAATATAGCAGGAAAAAAATGGTATTCTCATCTAGATAAATGTCAGAAAATATGGTGACAGGAGATATTCTGCTCCATATAGGCCTTCAGGTACAAGGCTGGTCATCTCTGTATTATCTTCATATGGTAGCTTCTAAAGTTAGCCCCCAAATCATTCAAAACTGAATACCAATACCCAGCATGGATATTTTTAAAAAAGTATTGGAGGAACATGTATAAAAGTCTCTCATAGATTATGTTCAAGGTTACACCTGAAATAGTATGAATACATTCTATTCATATGCCAATGGTTAAAATTTTCCACATAATCTCATTGGAAAATGAATCAAAAAATGTAGTCTAACAAATGTTAAGGGTGGGAAAGTAGCGTACTATTCTATGGGATTGTCACACAGTGGTAAAGCATTCACTTTGCATATTTGAGGCCAGGACTTCCATCCTTGGATCTGCCCTGTACAGGACAGCCCAGTGTGCAAGCCCCACCCCGAAGTGGCAATAACCTCAACAAAATGGAAGAGAAAGGAGGAAAAATCTAGTCCCAGTGTTAAGGAAAAAGGATCTACAGTTTCTGTCACAATCTGACTTGCTCTCTTTCTGTTACTACTTGTTCATCAAATTCATTGAAACAGTTTGAAATTTCAAGTACTTTTTCTCCATCCTCACTATCACTACCTAGACTTTGTTCATTATTCCCCATACTACAGTTGTTTTTTCAGTTGGTCTCTCTGCCTCGTTCTACCTGACCCACTTCTATGTTCATGATTATCTTTTCCAAGTTGTCATTTTGAAATAATTCAAAGAATTTTTCAAGAGAAGTCCTTAATTTTAAATGTGACAAAAGTTTCTCTAAGATCTTGGAGTCTAAAAGATAGTAGAGGACAACCAATTTCTGGCATCCCATATGGTCCTCTGAGCCCACTAAGAGTGCAAGACAGGTTTGGGTTTTTTTTAATGTATTTTGTTTTATTTTGGGGGGTCACACCCAACGATGCTCAGGGGTTGCTCCTGGTTCCCTCACTCTGGAATTACTCCTGGTGGTGCTTGGGGTACCTTGCACTCTGGAATTACTCCTGGTGGTGTTCCGGGTATCACATGGGTTGCCAGGAATTGAACCTGGGATGGCTGCGTGCAAGGCAAATGCCCTAGCTGCTGTACTGTTATTCCAGATCGGCTGCCAAGAGTGATCCCTGAGTGCAGAGTCAGGAGAAAACTGAGCATGGCTGGATGTGGTCAAAAAATAAAATAAAATAAATTTTCCTCTAAGATACAGAGCATATTTTCCCCCATTTTCTAATAATTTCCCTTAGTCATTTTACTTTCTGACATATTAAAGTACTTATATTTTACCTAGTGGGTCTGGTTTCTAGAATTTTTTTTGACTAGTTGTTTGCTAGTATAGGGCTAGAGCGATAGCACAGTGGTAGGGCGTTTGCCTTGCACGCAGCCAACATGGCCGACCCGAGTTCGATTCCTCCGCCCCTCTCGGAGAGCCCGGCAAGCTACCGAGGAGAGTATCTCGCCCACATGGCAGAGCCTGGCAAGCTCCCCGTGATGTATTCGATATGCCAAACACAGTAACAACAAAGTCTCCAATGGAGACGTTACTGGGCCCGCTCGAGCAAATCGATGATCCACGGGAGGGCCTTACTTTATTTACCTTACTTTATTTGCTAGAAAAGTCAAATGAGCTATTTAGTTACTAAATATTTACTTCACGAATTTTCAATTATCATAAACTAAAATATATAGTAAAGTAAAATTTAGTGCAAATTTTTAAAATTCATTGGTATTTTCAAGGAAAAAAAGTTGCTTCATATGCTAAAAAATAAACTTAACTAAAACTCCACTGTGAAATACTTTTTTATCTAACTGACACCAACTATTTGGAGTTGTGTCTGGATATTGTGGTAATTCTAAGTAACTGCCTCATCGAAGAGTTAAAAATACTTGTTAATAATTCACATTATGAATGAAGCACTTAGGTTTTCTATGCAACACCAAAGATATCAAACTTGAGTTTATCTAATTTGAATGTAGTCAGATTAAACTTCTTAGAAATAGTTCACTAAACCAGGGAAGCTTGACTGATTTAAAATGTGTAGATTTCAAAGTAAAACATCTTTCTGATGTGCCTCTTTGTATGATCTTTTTGTCTTTTAGACTCAACAGCATATAGAAGAGAGCAGAACTGGATGGGCTGGTGGAGTATGATTTTGTTATCTTTTTCCTATATTTTAATGAAATTTGATAAGTGATAAGTTATCTCAGGATTATTTAAATTGTATCCAAACTAGCACAAGGTAAAACAAAAAAGGAGTATTTCTTTCAGCAATGTTTGTGTCAATTTCAATGTCTATATTTTTAGAATTCCATGGAAAATACATCGTATTCCTCATGCCCCAACCTCAGGTTTTTCAGTTGACTCTCTGGCATCCATAATTAATGTTACTTCTGAACATCTTAGTCATTTAGAAACCATGCAGCCAACCTGATGGACCCAAGTTCGATTCCTCCACCACTCTGAGAGCTTGGCAAGCTACTGAGAGTATCTCACCCACCCGACAAAGCATGGCAAGCTAACCGGGATGTATTCGATATGCCAAACACAGTAACAAGTCTGACAATGTTACTGGGCCTACTCGAGCAAATCGATGAACAACGGGAGGACAGTGACAGTGACAGTGATATGAACTTAAATTATCACTGTATCACTGTCATCCTGTTGTTCATCGATTGCCTCGAGCAGGCCCCAGTAACATCTCCTTCATCCTAGCCCTGAGATTTTAAAAAGTGCCACATTCGAGGCTCTTCAAGGTCAGGAGAATGATACCCATCATTGTTACTTGTTTTTGGCATATTGAATATGCCATGTGGAGTTTGCCAGACTCTGCTGTGTTTGCAGGATACTTTTGGTAGCCTGCCAGGTTCTCCAGAGTAAGAACTAGATAATAGGATGTCGCTTCCGGGAGCTGGGTTTTATAGTCTCTGGGTCTTGGCCATTGATGGGATTACACAGCGCCGGGGGTAACTGGTGGATGTAACACCTACATACTGGAAGTTGGGGGATCTGGGTAGAGGAGGCCCGAGTCCCAATCCGAGCAGGCTTGGAGATCTACGCACCTATATATATTCTCATTTTTAAATAAAATGTGTCAAATAGGAAAATATATTGCTTTATCACAATTTGTGTTCATACATCTGAGAACTTTGGATGTTTATTCAGTGATATCTGAGTACTTTGGATGTTTATTCAGTGATTGAAGAGAATTTTTAGTGCAAAAATTAAGTGTTGTGAAAATATCAATATTATCTTTTATCCTAAATGAAGAAATTCAAAATAGGACAAAGAATTAGTGACTTGTGTGGATGTTGTCACTTATCTCAAAACTAATGACTTCAACTAGCATTTGGTCTACTCTGAGATTTCTATATATACAAATAAAAAATGTTTAGGATTGAGATTAACAGAGAAAATAAAAACTGGGACTGGAGCGATAGGACAACTGGTAGGGCGTTTGCCTTGCACACTGTCGACTCGGGTTCGATCCTCGACATCCCAGATGGTCCCCTGAGCACTGCCAGGAATAACCCCTGAGCTGGATGTGACCCAAAAAGCCAAAAAAGAAAAAACCTGTTTAAGACTTGCTTTAATACAGTAACCTTTCAGACCTTTCAGAAGTTAATTTTAAATGAAAAGTAGTATTTTAAAAAATATTTTTTTTCATTTGTGTGGCTTTGGGGCACACCCAGAGGTGCTCAGGGCTTTCTCATGGCTCTGCACTAAGGAATCACTCCGGGCAGGCTCAGGGGACTATATGGACTGCCAGGGATAAAACCCAGATTGATATTATGCAAAACAAGTGCCCTACCCTTTGTACTTCACTCTGGCACCTAAAAATTCAGATTTAAATTTCAGGATGGATAGGGAAAAGGTAAATTTTAAAATAAAGTAAAGGCCCTCCCGTTGATCGTCGATTTGCTCGAGAGGGCCCAGTAACGTCTCCATTGGAGACTTTGTTGTTACTGTGTCTGGCATATCGAATACTCTCGGTAGCTTGCCGGGCTCTCCGAGAGGGGCGGAGGAATCGAACTCGGGTCGGCCATGTTGGCCGCTTGTAAGGCGAACGCCCTACCGCTGTGCTATCGCTCCAGCCCTTTGATAAGCTCAATAATTTGATTTTTCAAAATTCTGAAATATTTGATAAAGTCATGTCACAACGTTATACTTTTATACAACTTTATGACTTTTACCTCTATAGTATGATCTCAAATGATATATGTTGCTTAGCTTCTTTTGACCTAAAGTTAAATCCATGATTTAAAAATTACTTACAAATAGTCTAGAAATCTATGTCCTTCTCAAGCAATTGTTCAAATAATATACAGTACATTGTAATTGAAGTATGAGAACTGTTCATAACAGTACACATTTAAAGACCAATTTTAGAGTAGCTGTTCCTTACAATAGTAATAATCACAAAATGTAAAAAAAAGTTTTCTTAGAAATGTTCCACATTACTTTTTCTAATGTGAGATATACATGTTCTTATTGAGAAAAAAAATCTTCACTTCTTTGGTGCTTGATCAGAAAAATAGCAACAAAAACAATTTAAAATATTTTCCTTTTTTTGGGAAAAAGCAGTCAAAATAAGTTTTTATTGGGAAATCTTAGTATTTAATACTAAATTTGGAAAAACACTAAAAGCTTGACACTGAAGAGCTCCTTTTTAATTACTGTTTAATTAAACAGTTCAAAATACCCATTTTACTGACAAAATTGACTTTAAGCCTTGTGTGAATCCAAGTGCTTTTACCTGGATGTAGACTCTGTTTAGATAACATGGACTTCAGAGAAACAGGACCTCAGCTCATTGACAGGTGAAATGATAGCCCCTATGACAGCAAAAAATCTCTAAGTAAATAATCTTATCTTTAAAGGAAAATGTTTTAAATGGCTTTGAACTTCGTGGAAGGACAGTAACTTATCATAAAATCTATGCCTGATAAAGCAATCTATGAAGACTTGTTGAAATAGAGGACGGTTCAGTTATGCATGCGTATCTAGGGTCCAGGTGTGATGTGCTACAAGAAGCACTTAACTCAGGATGCATTATGGCCTTAGGTCTGCAAAATGAATGCGGAAATATTTCACACCCTCTTTACCTCACCCAAGTTACCTGTTCATCTAAAGCAGCTGTCTTCCAGGTGTTCATTAAAAGGAGAGAAGATAACAGTCTTTGCTTAGCAGAAATATCCTTCCCATTTGTTTGATTATTATATTTTAAATCATGACACTCTGTACTGTCACTTTTCGATTTCTAATAAAATGAAACTTTAAGTTTTAACCTAAAACAAAAGCTTTTTTAAAAAAAAATTTCTCAGTATGTAATATTAAATCTTAGTATTTGATACTAAAATTTGGAGAAACACTAAAAGCTTGACATTGAAGAACCCCCTTTTAAAGAATACATTTTTTTAACTGTGACACCTTAAAATATTTTGTGACCCTGTTTCATTTTAGTAGTTAAAACCAAATGAGTCGGTTCTGTCTTATTTTCTGAGGTGTGAGAATGAGGCACTGCAAGGTACTATTGAGTATCTGTCTTATCATTTGTTAAGATGGTGAAGATTCATTCTGAAATGGAGCAATTTTGTCAGATTAGACATGTAAAGATAACATTCTATCTATAAACTCAAATTTCCCTGTTATAATCCTCTTGGTATCATTTTTACTTAAAGTTATTAATAGCTGCAATACACAAAATCTTCCCTAGGCTGGTCTTATTAATAAAACTAATGAGGGACCATGTAAGCAGATACCAATTTCTCATTATTCTATTTTCCATTTTGACAAGAATGTCTATTCTATGACAAAGATTAATGATATTGTGTAAGAATCCTAAGAGTACCGTAACGGTCACGGTCCTCCCATTGTTCATCAATTTGCTCGAGCGGGCCCAGTAGTGTCTCCATCGTGAGAATTGTTGTTACTGTGTTTGGCATATTGAATATGTCACGGGTAGCTTGCCAGTCTTTGCCATGCGGGCGAGATACTCTCAGTAGCTTGCCGGGCTCTCCGAGAGGGGCGGAGGAATCGAACCTGGCTCTGCCGAGCCGGCTGCATGCAAGGCAAACGCCCTACTGCTGTGCTATCGCTCTAGCCCAAAGTGTACTGTAAAAAACTAAAAAAAAAGTTGGTGACTTAAGGGACTGGAGCAATCGATAGTACAGCAGGTAGGGCGTTTGCTTGCACGCGGCCAACCCAGGTTCGATTCCCAGCATCCCATATGGCCCCCCAAGCACCACTAGGAGTAATTCCTTAGTTAAAAGCCAGAAATAACCCCTAAGCATCACCAGGTGTGACCCAAAAAGAAAAAAATTGATGACTTGAAATAACAGGTAAAGCTGGTGATGTGGTAATGGTGTTCAAGTGGTAGAGTACATTATTTGCATTTACAAGGCCCAGAGTTTGATTCTTGATACATCATTCCTCCCAAGCACCTCTAGATGTCACCCCCCACAATAACAATAACATATGCATGCATTTATATATAAACACACATATAAAGCATGTAAATATTTAAAATAATGAAATTTTTATCTTGCACCATTATGGAATCTAGAATTCCAAGGTCAATGTATTAGTGAGGTCTTATATTCTCTTTTCTTTTTAGAAAAGTTGAACCACACCTAGCAGTGCTCAGGTGAAACTCCTGGTTTTGATCTCAGGGGTTACTACTGGCGGGCTCAGGGGAAGATTTGGGGTGCCAGGGTTTGAACCTGGATTGGCCCCATGCAAGGCAAACACCTTATCCACTGTATTTCTCTTGCCCAGTCATATACTCAAGCTTTAGGGAAAAAAATTCTTCCTTGAGTCTTCTAGTTTGGGGTAGTTACAAAACCCACTCTTCTTCCATCTTCACTTTTTTATTTTATTTTTTGCTCTATTTTTCTCTGTGTCTCTTTGCTCTCCCTCCTCACTTGAATTTGGGGTGCATCTAGTGAAATATGATCACATCTTGATTTGGACCTGATTGAATCTGAAAGTATCACATTTCTATATAGGATCACTGCCTTAGTCTGTTTGGGCTACTATAAATATAAAAAACAAATAGTACCACACAAGAAATGTCTACACTCAGTTTGGGAGACTGGAATTCTGAAATCCAGGTGCAAAGATTGTCAAGCCCTGTTGAGAGCTCTCTTCTTGGTTGTAAACTTTCAAAGTCTTACTATATTCTCACGTGACAGAGAACAGATAAGAGGAAGTAAATTTGGTGCTCCTTACAGGGACACTTTTCCTTTCTACAAAGACTGCTTAAGAACCATCTGCTGTAATGATCTCTGAAAGACCCTACCTACTAACACCATATTTTAGAGAGATGGTTTTCAACATATGAATCTGGAGACACATTCAGTTCACAACACCAAGGTTATAAATGAATATAAAATTTAGACCACTACAGAAACCACAAGAGATAAACACCATTTACCTTTACCTTTACCTTACCATACAATTGTAATAATCAGTTTTATCAAAAAGGATCAAGAATCAGATCACATATCACACCATCACTAAAGAGAGCTATTAAATTTCCTCTGTTCTCTTTTTGCTCAAAAAATGGTCTCAGACTAGGTGAAAGCAGAATAAGTATTTTTGCTAAAAGCTTCAGTGGTCTTCTGATACTTGGCTCAGTTGTAAGAGATCTGAATATTTTGGACCACTGTCATGAGGATTCAGGCTAGAGAACGTGCTGTGGGTTGTTTATGGAAATAACCTTACTATATAAGTTAGACAGCATTTCTTTAGGTAATCTTAGAAAGCAAATATGAGTGTCAGCTTTTCTGTTTGTTTTGTGTCTCCCAAGCAGGGTTCAGGAGACCCAAGTTTTCTCCCAAAGAATTTCTGTCAACACAGACAATGGTTCATATACAAGAATCCTAAGATGCAGTGCTGCTAAGACCTTGTGGTGATAGAGATAACCAGGTTATCCTGGCTATGCACTGGTGCCTGCATGCCAGACCTAATGGTGTTCATGGGACCATGTGGCGCAGGGTTGGGACTGGGATTTTCTGCATGCAAGGCATAAACCTAAACCCCTATCTCTTTCTGGCCAATGCTTGTCTTTTAATAGTAAAAATAAGGAATCACTGGCTAACAGTTATGTGAAAACATTGTTCAGATTTTAGTTATCTGTACTAGTCAATATGCTGGAATGTGACTTACATTTTTTTTTTTCAGATCACACTATACTGAGAATTAGGTGTCCCTTGTGTCATGAGGGAGCTGCCCATTGGGGCCTGGAAAGAGCCTAGCAATGGACAGTGAAGTTTACTCTACCCCTTGAGCTCAAGAAGTGAAATTCCTATTTGCTTGACCTTGATCAAATTTTGTTCTTCGAAGTCCCTCTGTAACATTAACAGTTGTGTTAGCTAACATCAGGTCATTAAACTTTAATCTTTATAATGTCTTCGCGGCCAACATGGCCGACCCAAGTTCGATTCCTCCGCCCCTCTCGGAGAGCCCGGCAAGCTACCGAGAGTATTTGATATGCCAAACACAGTAACAACAAAGTCTCCAATGGAGACGTTATTGGGCCTGCTCGAACAAATAATGTCTTCATTGAGAATAAATTAAAGTGGATGAGAAGTAATATACCAGTGATGAGGAATCGTGGGCACTCTTATGGCAATGAAATATCATAAATTAACATTTTTATACATATGTGACCTAAGCCATAATGTTAAAGTGAAAAATAAAAAACAAAATGTTTGCACAGAATCATTGGCATTACATATGGCATCAGACAAATACAGAATTTAAGGGTCATGAGCTTTAAAAATAGTTATTCTTATATCATTTATCTATCTTACAGTTGGACTTGGTAAAATATCAAATTTCACCAATAATTCTTTTAACATATTTTCAAGCGACATAATCTCACAATATAGAAATGAAACATTATAGAACCAGGGTGTGTAGTAGCATTAAATGTAGTTGTAATGTGCAAAAATCTGTTATAATTGCCAAAAAGCTTTCAATTTGGACAAAGGAATTTCAAAGAGAAGAAAAGATCAAGAAGTCATAGCATTCTTGTTCTTATAACTATGCACTACTTTAAAAAAATCTTTAATTTTAGTTTGGTTTATCTTTTGCATATAACCTCTCTTCATTTCTTTCAGTTCTTTGTTTCAACACCAGTTTTCAGCTATGATGCCATTTCATACTACAAAATATTTAGCGACAAGGATGGCTACAAACATATTCACTATATCAAAGATACTGTGGTACGTTCCTTCCAAGATTTATCTACTCAAAGATCATTCACTTTAGGTTGCTCAAATAACGCTCAGTTTCACACAACATAATGTTTGTCTTTTTATAGGAAGATGCTATTCAAATTACAAGTGGCAAGTGGGAGGCCATAAATATAGTCAGAGTAACACAGGATTCACTGTAAGTATTGCATAAAGCACGATGTGCCATTGAGGTTTTAATTGGCACTGATGGACATACAAATGATACTACACCATCCCTCTTATTTAAGAGCATTTTTGTTTAATTGAGAGTGATTTTATTAATACTACATGTTCTTAAATAACTAGTCAACATGTCCTTTATAAATGAATATTTAGTAGATGGTTATTTCCAATACAGAATAAATAAATGATACACATAAAAAGTAAAATTTGTCTAAAAATTTTTGGCTCTTCAGCACTCGAAGCAATGAAAGCAATCCATATATATGGAAATTTTTTCATAGTGATTCACTGTTATATAAATTTAAGATTAAGTTTAAGATTATCATCTATATGTGCTATTATTATGAGCAAGTACTGTGTACCACATACCGCAAAGTAGAAATGGTTACCCTACATTAAAGATGAGAAAACTCAAACTTGGAAATTTGATTAAATTATCTAAGGCAACCAATTAAATTATCTAAGCTTGAAACTTAGTTTCTGCAACTAGAGTTAATATTTTTATTGTTAACCAACAGGAACTCCTCTCTTCCAGGTATTTCCTTTATGGTCCATTTTTCATACTGTAGAGGACCAACTTAAAATAATAAAAAAAAAATTAGAATCTAGTGGTTCTATTTTATTGATCATAATTTGTCTTCCATTAAGAGCAAGTAGATCACCAAGAATCACCCTAAGTGTAGGCTAGGAATTAAGCCCTTAGCACCATCGGGGGTGGCCAAAGCTCCCCCCAAAAGACTACTATGTAAGGTTCCATTAGCAGTCATAAAAAACTCATTTCTCTGATTTAGCAGAATTGTTTTCAACCACCAGTCTACAGGTGTAAAAGTGTTGAAAACCACTCATTCAGCAGCCATTCGTGATACATTTGTGGTTTTGTGAGTTTTATATGGGGGAGAATGGGCTCATACCTATAGGTACTGGGAGGGAGTTCATGTGCTAGAAATTACATTCAGGTCTTCACAAGCAAGGCACTTGATCCACACTCTGCCACTTGAGCCACATTCTTCAATTTCTGTGTGTTTTTAAAAGACTAAATATTACAGACTGCACTGTGATACTCTCTCTCTCAGTAGCTGGCCAGGCTCTCCGAGAGGGGCGGAGGAATCGAACTCGGGTCAGCCATGTTGGCCGTTTGCAAGGCAAACGCCCTACCCGCTGTGCTATCGCTCCAGTATCTCGCCTGCATGGCAGAGCCTGGCAAGCTCCCCGTGATGTATTCAATATGCCAGACACAGTAACACAAAGTCTCCAATGGAGACGTTACTGGGCCCGCTCGAGCAAATCGATGATCAACGGGAGGGCCTTTACCTTTACCTTTGCACTGTGATATCAGCACTAACTACTGAGTATGGTAATTATTCAGTAATACCTATGGCTATTTAATACACAGAATATTTCTAGTCTGAGTTGAGATGTGGTATGTATTAAAATAATATACCAGAGTTCAAATAGAAGAATATAAAATATCTTAGCAATTTGCTTAAGTGCTCATATTTTACATATTTTTTGTATGCACCAGGCTGGGCTGGAGCTACAACACAGAGGATAGGGTGATTGCCTTGCACGCCGCCGACCTGGCCAACCCGGGTTGGATTCCTCCGCCCCTCTCGGAAAGCCGACAAGCTACCGAGAGTATTTTCGCCTGCATGGCAAAGCCTGGCAAGATACCTGTGACGTATTTGATATGTCAAATACAGTAACAGCAAGTCTCACAATGGAGACGTTACTGGGCCCGATCGAGTAAATCGATGAACAAGGAGAAGACAGTGCTACAGTGCTAGCTGGAATCCTAGGGAAGAGGATACTCATATCTACTACAGATTGCGCTAAAGAGGACTCATAAGTTTATGTGTAAAGGAAGAGGGAAAGGAAAGAGGTAACAGGATTCTGTTGCCAAAGATAAATATAACTGTGAAAATTTTGACATAGCAAAATAGACCATGTCCTAGGCCACAAAACATGGGGGGGTGTGATAATATCCTGTATGGGTTATCTATAGGGGGCTTGAGATGATTTGGAAAATGCAAGGAATTGTGATAATCGAGGTCATGTATGTGAATAAAAACATGGCAGGTTTAGAAGATAAATTTAATACTAGAAAAATGTGGGCCTTGCCCTATTCTTTTACTTAAAAATAGCAACAAGAGGGTGCTTTAAATTTTATCCAGTTTCATCTGATTTGTTTGTTTTCTGGTGTGACAGTGAAGTATCTAGATTCTTAACAGTCCTCAGAATGGAAAATTGGTTTTCAAAGTTTTGTTGATCTAAACTGTTTTCCATTCCATTATGTCTTGGAAAAAAGAAAAAAAGGAAAGGAGGAATGAAGGTAAGAGGGGAAGGGGGAGAAGAAAGAGGGGGAGGAGGAGGAGGAGGAAAGAAAAGGATGAGGGGGCAGAGGAAAACGGTGGAGGAGAAGATGAAAGGAAGTAGAAGAGGGAGGAATAAAAGGAGGCAAGGAAGGAGGAAAAAGGATGGAAGGAAGGAAAGAAGGAAGGAAGGAAGGAAGGAAGGAAGGAAGGAAGGAAGGAAGGAAGGAAGGAAGGGAGGGAGGGAGGGAGGGAGGGAGGGAGGGAGGGAGCAAGGAAGGAAGGAAGGAAGGAAGGAAGGAAGGAAGGAAGGAAGGAAGGAAGGAAGGAAGGACAGAGAAAGTCAGGGAATATCTGTGATATCAGATGAACTCACAGAAGAATGAAAACCATGATGCAGCTAAAATTGGATTTCCCACTTCATGGCTATATTAAGACAGGTTAGAATTGGGACCTGGATACTTAAGTAACAAGTACATCTTCTTGTGACTTGTTTTGCATCTGGATAAATTGACATGGACCTTTGGCATGCCAGGATGGATAAGTTTCATGATTTACAGGAAGTTTTTGATGTCAGACTTTCTGTAAAATAAATATAAAGCATGAACAAAATCATTAGATAAAATTTAATAGCATAGAGAAATCAGTATATTGCTATTAATCTTTAAAAATTAAAAATTGTAACTTATTTTGTTTGGCTTATAATTAGTAGATTGGGCATATTTATAATTAATAGATTGGGCATATTAAGAATACTCATCTTAATTTAATCTTCTTTTCTAATAGTTGGAAAGTCAGACTAAGTAATCAAAATCTTTATGAGCCATGGTGATTTTTGCACATAAGTGCTAATTAATCAGTAGATGAAACTTTTTGTTCAATTGATATTATTGTTTAAAAATTATCAACATTTAGTTATCAATAATTATTTAATAATTCTTAAAACATTTTCAGCTTTTATTCCAGCAATGAATTTGAAGGCTACCCTGGAAGAAGAAATATCTATAGGTAATTATGTCAATTGACTCTAGTATATTTTCCTATTGGTATTTGATTTTTAAAAAACTGTCTTAATATATAAGGGATGACCAGCTTTAAGGCCTGGAATAGAAATTAAACCTATTTATATTCCCATAATATATTATTTTTTTAATATAGTTCACTTTGGGGCAGGAGAGATAGTACAGAGGGTAGAGTGTTTCCCTTGTATGTGGCCAACTTGTGTTTGATCCTCAGAACCTCATATGGTCCTTGAGTACTACAAGGAGTGATCCTTGAGCACAGAACAAGAAGTTAAGCCCAGTGAACCCCTATGTACTCCCCCCAAGCCCAAATAGATCATTCATCTCTGTTCCTAACTTACCTTTTTCTTAGATGGGAAGGGCTCCTAAACAATGTTCAGGGGGTCCAGAATCACTTTCAGATATATACAGTCAGGTAGTTCAATGATAGTACCTGGAGATGTGTACTACATGAGTGCAGTGTAATTTAGGTCTTCCAGAGCTCAGGAGGTGCTCAGAGAGTTTTTGGCCCTGTCTCTGGAGGTGTTTTAGTGGTATTTTAGTGGCCATGCGGTGCTGGGAATGTAATTCAGAGCCTCCAGTATGTAAGGCACATGCGCTAATCATTTAAGTTATCTCTCAAACCTTCATTAAATGAGTTTTTTTAAGTACAGTTCACTGATCCCCTGCGTTATTGCAAAGTCAGCCTCTACAGCCCATTCTATAAGTGGAAATAAGAACAGTCGTTACTCTGTAACTACTGTCGTTTTATATTCCAGGCACATCTCTTGTTATTATTGCCACACCAATGGGAAGGGCCCATCTTCAGTGGGATCAAACCCAGGACCTCACATATGCAAAGCATGTGCTCTAACATTTGAGCCACATCCCAAGTATTTTTTTTCCTAATATGCTTCACAGATGTAATTTCATTTAATCTTTACAACTCTAGGCAAGTCATGAAGTTGAAGACAGAATTATGTAGATCTTGACCCTTTGCTTTTAATTGTCTACGTAACCTTCAAAAATAGCACTAAAATAGGAGATAAATGTAACCTAACAGGAGAAGTGGGAAGATTTTCTTCACCTTGTTTTCTCTGTCCCTCGTGGATCCTGGTCACTTCACTGTGGTGTATCAATCTCTCTGACCAGCCTCATCTGCGCCCAAAGTCAAGTCAGAAACAGCAGCATTAGGAATAATGCAGCAAGCACTAGGTAGCCTTCATAGTTACAGTGGGACTCTGGGCCTCCTTCCTGACTCAATGCCAGCTCACCTACTCTAAATTATATTCGAAGTTTCAAATTCGAGGTGCCTGTATATTAAAACCAGTCAGCTCATGCAGAAACCACACTGAGGACTATCTGAGGAAAGTGTGGGCCCAACATCTTAGGTGCAAGTTGATTTGTTGTAGAAATGTGCAGAGCGAATATCCCAGATTGCATTTCCCGGAACACAAATTTCCTGCCAAATGGAATAAATGTGCATAGAAGGCACCTACAACTGTGCTTTCTTATTTCAAAGTTGCTTAATATTATTTTCCCCTTTCAGATAGATGGTAAATATGGGGACTTTGGTGATACTGCCAAGTTTCCCTGTATTTTTGCCATGCAAGTACAAAAGAGAGATGGGAAGATGAACTATGCAGTTCTAACAACTTTGTTAAATGTGGGAGATAAGTGCTTATGAAAAGTAACTATATCCCTCCCAGTGGAGGTGTTAAGCCATTTCTCGAGCCCCAGGGAAACTACACAGGGCTTCTCCCTCAAAGTTTGGGATAATCAGGCAAAGATGGATCAAAATCAGGCTCCATCAAATGACTGCGATTTCTCTTTCATTTAAATGATACTGGCAACCAAAAAATAGAGTGGGGTTGATGTCAATATGCAAATTAGTCATTTTACATGGAGTGGTACATTTTGATAAATACAATCTCAAACCTTCAGCTTCATTTTATTTTCATTTTCCTCTAGAATTAGCATTGGAAGCTATCCTCCCAGCAAGAAGTGTGTTACTTGCTATCTAAGGAAAGAAAGGTGCCAATATTACACAGCAAGTTTCAGCGACTACGCCAAGTACTATGCACTCATCTGCTATGGTAGGTAATGGACCTAACACAAATTCTCACCCCACCTGCCACTGTTACTGTCCTCATTGCTACCATTTGATCAAACTTTAGGTACAGGTTATTGAGCGCTTGATGTATGTGAGGATCTTTATCTAAGCTATCTAATCTAATGCTTACAGAAAATAGTGAAAGGAAACTAGGAAGGTATTATTCTCTCTCTCTCTCTCTCTCTCTCTCTCTCTCTCTCTCTCTCTCTCTCTCTCTCTCTTGCTGCTGACGACATCAAGAGTAAAATTGTAAACAGTTTGCACTGCTGGTCAGCCTCAGAAACAGGATGAGACCAAGGGTCGATTGACAGTAAATCCTCAGTTCTTATCCAACACGTGCCACAGCACCTTGAGGTTTGTAAGTAAATATTACCTACTGGTTATCTACAGCAGGATTTGAACAATGCCATAAAAAAGAGTCATATTCTCTGATAAAGTGGTTGCTGCACTTTGACCACCTTTGCCTGGAAAAATGTCAGTCACCGTATGGCCAGTGGAAAGAACAGAGAAACCTGTGCTCCTTTTCCTTAGAAGCCAATAAATCTTCAAATATAGTTTTAACGGGGTAATAAAATAAACCTTTGCCACCTATTATGCCCTTTCTGTATTTTGAAAACATATGATTCATTCAAATATTTTAAATATATATTAAAATATTCTGGCTACTTGGGCCATATGTCTATTAGTCAATAATTTCAAGCCAAATAATAGTATCTTATATATTACTTTTGAACATATGCAAGCAATAAGACAAGTTATGTTAGGCAATCAGTAGATCAATAAGACAGGCTGGGATTTTGGCAATAGTCTTCACGATTTGGAAAATTGAACTTGAGCAAAATTCATTTTCACCATTCCCTTTCCCATCATTGTTAGTTACTGAGTTTCTCTGGAGGGGTCAGAAAACAGAAGAAATTACTACAAAATGCATGTGACTATTTTGTTTCTGGTATGAACTTTCCACCTGGAGGCAGGAAGCAACAAATTGCAACACTGGTGACTGATATCCCTGGTTTGGAGCCAAAGTCCCAGGATCCCTTTTATTAACCAGAAGAAAGGACACCCTGACCAACTACTTCCTTCTGTCCTTTCACCTCGTCTCATAACCTGAGTCCAACTCCTTTAACTTTGGAGTGAATAAGTATTTTAACTCAAATGCTTCCTATTGGATGGTACAATTTAGGGAGCCTGAACATAGCTCAATGAGTTATGTAAGCAGGAGGCTTGTAGGCAGGAGGCATAACGTTCTATCACCATCGGCATCCTACCTTCCAACTTCTACTCCAAAAGCAATTAAGATTTGTAATCTGAAACATAACAAAAGGTGTAATCTGAACACTGTAACAAAAGTGTGTAAGGATCACAATCAAGTGTGTATGATCTCTGAGCATTAACACAACACCAAAAAAGAAGGAAAGGCATAGAGATCAACTTAAATAGATTGATATATAGGTGATGGGGCGATAGCCCAGTGGTAGGGCGTTTGCCTTACATGCAGCAAGCCCGGCCAAGCCAGGTTCAATTCCTCCGCCCCTCTCGGAGATCCCGGCAAGCTAGCAAGAGTATCTCACCTGCACAGCAAATCCTGGCAAGCTACCTGTGATGTACTCTATATGACAAACACAGTAACAACAAGTCTCAAAATGGAGACGTTACTGGGCCCGCTTGAGCAAAATTGATGAACAACAGGAGGACAGTGATTGTGTTTGATAGAAAGGTATGTCAGTTTGATACTTTTTCTCAAAGTCTGGTCAGGGATTTGGCTCCAGGCTGGGAGTGAATGCTTTGCTGAGGGGGCTCTGGGTTCTATTCCTACCACAACCAGAAGTAGACCAAAATTTTAAAAGAAAAAGTTGGATCTGTGGGATCTTTGAAAAGTCAAGAAATCTGATGATGACTGTATGTGTTGACTGTGGTTATGGCATTTAAAAATATACGTTAAATGTCCCTCTCAAGTTTTCTGCACTTTTCAACCCAAGACATTTTTATGCAATGTACACTGAAAGCTTACGTGCGAGGCACCTAGTGCTACTGAACTACCTGATTTGAGTTGTATCTCTTCTGAAGATGTAATCTTTAAATTCATAAGGCCAAGAAGTAGAATAATTATTACATAATAAACATTGAATCCTTGCTGCATGAACACAGGAGACCAAGATCAGTGTGGCTGCCTTTTTGTAAAACCTCCCAAATTTGTTTTTATACTGATTTACTGATCAGACCTCAGTGACTCTACACTTAGGTGTATGCACAGACACACACAGACATACACACATATGCATTATAATTTGTTCGTTCTTTTGCACATTTTAAGCAATATATCCCTTGTCATATTATTTTGTCTTCCTAATACCGTGGAGCCTAACTGCTCACTGACTGAAGAGAAAAGAAATCAAAGTCTAAGCTCTCATCAAAAGTTGGTGGAAGAGTCCTTTCTAGAACTTGAATCGCCTGACTTTTCCACACTCACTCTTCCTTGGCAGTATGGTAATTTCCCATTTAGCAAAAAATATACTGTGTGGGAAGCATCACATCGTCTGGTGTTTTTGAAGCTCCAGTAAAATGAGTCACTGCGCCATCATAGGAAAAACCTTGAAATCTTTCCCTTTAGGACTAAGAGTAAAGCCTCATTATATAACTTCAGACTTTCTGCTAGAGATGGTGAGTAAATTCCAGGTAATAGGATTTAAATAGATAAAATTGTATACTGAAGCTATGAGAGGAACCATTCCAGGTCATTGATCCTTAGGCCTTGAGGGTCTAACCTCTGCTCTTTTGCATCTAGGGCAGCCAGCCATTAGTTTGTCTCATAGTTTCACAAAAAAAAAAAAAGATAATGGTAAGCCCTGAGCACAGCAGTGTATGTCCCACAAACAAAATCAAACAAAACAAAAGATAATGCCAGTTGTCACTACTAGGAAAATTTCCCAAAATAATTCTGATTGACCAAAGGTGAGGGGAAATTTGGTCTATTTCTCATTTCCTTACATTCTGGTCAAAAATATTAGTTGTATATTTCCCCTTTCATAAATTTAAAGAAAAATTACTCTAATCACTAAAATAAAATCCCGTAAGATTTAGAGACTGCAATAAAAAAAAGAAGGAATTTTGAGGGAACTTAATAAATAATATCCTTTCTCCTTATTCCTAACTTAACTGAGGATACAGGCAAGAAATAAAATATTAGCCTTATTTTTCAGAGAGGTTAGTTTAAAATGTGGCTATGGTGTACAGTTTCTTAATATTGTACCCCAGAATGTACTCACAAAAATATGTATCTCATTAGATATGACACCTCAGGCATTTAGCACTGTCACACTTTTGACACCTAAGGAACAGGATTAAATGTGCGTTATCTATAGCCAGAAGCTACTTATACCAATTCTTCTAACACCTCACTAAAATGGTCTGTCCTACTGTGCTTTCTGGGGACTAGTGGTTCTCCAATGACACTCCCTCCCTATAAAAAGTCCTGATATGTGTTGCTTTTAAACTTTTGCCTAGTTGGGCAAAATGATCCTTTGACAGAGACATAGTATAGCTGGTAAGGCACTTGCCCTGCACACATCTGACCCAGGTTCTATTCAAAGCTCTCCATGTAATACTCTGAGCCCTGCCAGGAGTGATTCCTGAGTCAAGCGTGCACAGACACACAGAGAGAGAGAGAGAGAGAGAGAGAGAGAGAGAGAGAGAGAGAGAGAAACGACACACAGACAGAAACAGACACACAGACACACACACACAGAAATAGACACACATAAATATAAATATGCTCGAGCGGGCCCAGTAACGTCTCCATTGGAGACTTTGTTGTTACTGTGTTTGGCATATCGAATACGTCACGGGGAGCTTGCCAGGCTCTGCCGTGCGGGCGAGATACTCTCGGTAGCTTGCCGGGCTCTCCGAGAGGGGAGGAAGAATCGAACTCGGGTCGGCCATGTTGGCTGCATGCAAGGCAAACGCCCTACCGCTGTGCTATCGCTCCATAACCAAAAATAAATAAATAAATTAGCAAAAATATGTTGCCAAGGACCATTGGTATGATTCAGTGGTTAAGCACAGGCCTAGCCTGTGGGAGGCTCTGAGTTGATCCCTGGCAGACTAGGTATAATCTTCTTGGTGCCCCACACTTCTGAGTGTAATTCCTACCACCCCCCAAAAAAAAAGATTTTTCTGCCTTAATTTAGTCTGCCACTTAAGTAAGATAGAAAATGTTGATTATTTGTAGATACTATTCAAATGTACTTCACAGAAAATTTTAATCCTATGTTGGATTATGTAGTCCACATTCATATGCCTTCTAGATTTTCCATCTTTAGGAGTAACTCACTCATTCTGTGATACATCCAAGGCCACAGGCCACATCCAATAACCATTCCCTATTCTAGGGTATAAGAGTCAGTTCCACTGGTTCCATTTAAAACAACTATGCCAAGGGGCTGGAGTGATAGCACAACAGGTAGGGCATTTGCCTTGCACATAGCCTATCCAGGTTCAATTCCCAGCATCCCATATGGTCCCCCAAGCACGGCGAGGTGTAATTCCTGAGTGCATGAACCAGGAGTAACCCCTGTGCATCGCTGGGTGTGACCCAAAAAGAAAAATAAATTAATTAATTAAATAAAACAACTATGCCAATCATCCAGCTTCAGAAACCCCCCCCCCCCCCCAAGGAGAACTTGATGAGGTCTGGACTATGAACTCTCCAAAGTCTACCTTCCCTCCATTCTCACTCTTCATTCCTTCTCAGAGAGGGAATTCTAATATAATTCTCACCCCTAGATACACGTCTGGGCCACAAACCTTTTTCTGGGTCTGTTTTTTGGATTATGTGCTCTGCCCCATGTTTGAACTCATCAACAAACTATGTACATATATATGTATATATATACATATATGCACCATAGCACCATCCTCCTGTTGTTCATTGATTTGCTCAAGTGCATACCAGTAACCTCTCACAACAAATTGTGACACTTGTTGTTACTGTTTTTGGCATATCGAATACATCACGGGTAGCTTGCCATGCTTTACCGTGCAGATGAGATATACTCTCAGTAGCTTGCCGAGCTCTCCGAGAGGGGCAGAGGAATCGAACCTGGGTTGGCCGCGTGCAAGGCAAATTTCCTACTGGCTGTGCTATTGCTCTAGCCCATATATATATATACACATAAATACTTTTTTCTGTATGTATTCATCACATGGGAACAAAAGAGATAAAGAATTCTACTCACCAAAATAAATCAAACATTGTGCTATGAGCCATATTTAAAATATAATCTGGGTACTGGTGCAGATTATTTGATAATAAAGACATGGCAAAAATAAAAAACCCAGTCTGTGCAACATAAAATATTTCCAGGTGCCACTTATCACTGCTGCTTCTGGGTGTAATTAGAGTTGAATTATTCAGAATTACTCTTGGAAAAGCATACAAGAAACGCTTTACTTACATCTGTTCTTTGATTGGACTCTGATTTTATGTGTTATTTAAATACAGTTTAAAAGGTGATGTTTACTTCTTGGGAGGAGGCAGTTGCATAATTAAAAAAATATACTTGAGATTAATAAAGAGCACAGTGGTAGGGCATTTGCCTTGCACGCAGCCAGCCCGGCCAAGCCGGGTTCTATTCCTCTGCCCCTCTCGGAGAGCCCAGCAAACTACCGAGAGTATCTCGCCCACACAGCAAACCCTGGCAAGCTACCCCTGATGTATTCAATATGCCAAACACAGTAACAATTGTCACAATAGAGACGTTACTGGGCCCGCTCGAGCAAATCAATGAACAACAGGAGGACAGTGTTTGATGATAATTATCAGTAATTTTTTAGAAGGTAAGTGTTATTTTATTTTGGGCCACACCCAGAGGTGCTCAGGATTTACTTCTGGCCCTGTGGTCAGGAGACCACATGTGGAGTTAGAACTGGAGTAATACCCAGGCAATTCAAGAGCCTTATTCCTTGTACTATCTTTCTGACCCTGAAAATAAAATGTTATTTTTAAATCAAGCTTTGATTTTATTTTCTTACTATACACAGGCCCTGGTCTCCCCATTTCTACCCTTCATGATGGCCGCACCGATCAAGGTACCCTCTCTTGCATGCTGTTGTTTCGTCAAAAGAGTTTCGAAACTCACTGTGACCCTGCACCAATGAGAGGAATGTGATGACTTTCTGATGTTTCTTACCTTATTATTCTTCTTTTAGTTAAATTTTGTGACATGAAATTTAGTTATTTTTGCAGTAACCAGAACTAATGTAATCAATTATATCACAGGAATTAATCCTATCTTCCTAAAAAAAAAGTCTTATAAAGAGCATTGGAGGAATATAAGATATTTAACACAACATCTCTCTAAGAAAATAATTTCTATTTTAGGGCCTGGAATGATAGTACAACAGGTAAGTGCTTACCATGCACATGGCAAACCCAGGTTTTATCCTTGGTACCCCATATGGTCATCTGAACCCAGCCAGAAGTGATCTCTGAGTGCAGAGACAGAAGTAAGACCAGAGTACCACTGTGTGCAGCCCCCAAACCAAACAACAACAACAACAACAACAAACCATTAGTCAAACAAACAAAAACCCAAATTTTATTTCTCTGGTTACTTTTCCTTCTGAAGACAAGTTTCAGATATAAGTCCAATTTAAATCAGAGCATGACTGCTGTGCTAGCTTTTGGTTTGAACTGCTATATCACATGTTACCATGCTCAGTGTCCTAAGACTTAGAGGCTTTTTCCATTTTCAACTGCTACTGATATAGATCTCCATTCTATATTTGTAGTATTAGTTCAAATAGTTCACAGCTTAAGGATGAGTGTTTTTCCTATCAAGAAAGTTTTCCAGGCATTTAATTGCTCAGATATACTTCCTCCAGTTCCTCATTACCTCTTTATTTACTATTAAATAAAATTATAAGGTTGAAGTTGATGATGTCTCAGGGACAATGAATGATTTTCACACTCATACCTGTGATTATCTCTGGACAACTTTGGTGATACATCAGAGAACTACTTTGAAATTAGTTTGGCTGGCTGCTGAATGGTACAAGTAAAGGGGAAAATAAAGTAACAAGGAAAACCAATCAACTCAGGTGCTCAGGAATTATAGTATTATAGGGCTGGAGCGATAGCACAGCGGTAGGGCGTTCGCCTTACAAGCGGCCAACATGGCCGACCCAAGTTCGATTCCTCCACCCCTTTCGGAGAGCCCGGCAAGCTACCGAGAGTATTCGATATGCCAGACACAGTAACAACAAAAGTCTCCAATGGAGACGTTACTGGGCCCTCTCGAGCAAATCGACGATCAACGGGAGGGCCTTTACCCAGTAATATAATATTGTAGTAATGGAACTAAAATTTTAGTTAGCACAGCGGTAGGGCGTTTGCCTTGCACGCAGCCAACATGGCCGACCCGAGTTCGATTCCTCCGCCCCTCTCGGAGAACCCGGCAAGCTACCGAGAGTATCTTGCCCGCACGGCAGAGCCTGGCAAGCCACCCGTGATGTATTCGATATGCCAAACACAGTAACAACAAAGTCTCCAATGGAGACGTTACTGGGCCCGCTCGAGCAAATCGACGAACAATGGGAGGGTCTTTCAAGTATTTTAAAAAGCTATATCTGATAATAAAATATTAGATTTCTGAATTTGGCTCATCTTAGTATGAAAAATTTCAAATCACTGTCACTTTCAAAACTGTTTTGATATAAGTCATCATAAATGTATCATCCCATTTTATTATGACTTCAAAATCAAGGTCAGTGTTTTTGTCCATAGCATGGATTTCCACTGAGATATACTGTGTTTTCCTGCCACATCAATTTCTGCACCACTTACAAAGTTTTATTACTTCAGCTGATATTTTCAAAACAGGCACCAGATCCTTGCTACTCATCAATATCCATGTACATTTATGTGTAGTAACTTGTGAGTTAAAATGCAAATTCTTTTATAACATAGTTCTTTACACATTTCCCTAAGGGTTGATACTCTCTTGGATGTTTATTATAATACAGATTCTTAGGCTCTCCTTGGAGAGAGCAGTTCAGTAGATCTTAATATGGCCCATAGAATATATATTTTCAACAATTCCCATAGAATATTTATTTCCAAACAAAATATGGAGTTGCTTTTTCATAAAAAATATCTTAAAGTTTTTTTTGTATTTTTTCCCATTGCGTTTGATGCAAGCAGTCTTTAACCAAAAAAAAAAAAAAATACTTATTGAGCAATTACCACTTTAAAGTCAGACACTGTGTTGGCTATTAGATTTTCAAAATGAACAAAATATTAAGGGACAAGCTCTAAATCTTCAAGGAGGTTAATGATAGCTACATCAAAGATATCCATGAGTCCAAGAATATAGGACTGTACCACTGTCCTCCCATTGTTCATGGATTTGTTTGAGTGGGCCCAGTAACATCTAGATGGAGACTTGTTGTTACTGTGTTTGGCATATCGAATACGCCGTGGGTAGCTTTCCAGGCTTGGCCATGTGGGCAAGATACTCTCAGTAGCTTGCTGGCTTTCCGAGAGGGGTGGAGGAATCGAACCCAGCTCAGCTGGGCCAGCCGCATGCAAGGCATACACCTTACCGCTGTGCTATAAAGAAAAGATTAATGCTGCTTTTATACCTGTTTCTCAAATGGGCTAATACTAATTGATGCTTCCTCCCACCCAAGAGATTCAGTTACAGAGAATGTTTAGGGGAAAGCAAATTTTGTTTTGAATATTAAGGTTGAGATGCTGGTAGACGATTCAAGTAGATGAGTCCTGCAGTGATCTCTTTTATTTTTTGAATCTGAATAGTGGATGATAAGTTTGGAATTATCAAAGAGTAATTTGTTTATAGATTACCTGGTTATTAAAATCATGGAAGGGGATTAGTTGTTTAAATGGGAAAAAATTGAAGGTAATCAGCCATAGTGGAATGTGAACTTAGAATAAAAAATGAACAGAACATCAACATGAGCAATTTAAAATAAAATTGAGTCCATGAAGAATTCTGAGAGCAAACCCTAGGTTGGGCAACCTTGAAAGTATGGTGTCCTGGAAGCAAGGGTGGAAAAGAGCCATACTCAACTGTATCAATCATTGTAGAGTGAAGTACGAACTACTCTAAATTAATGGACTTAACAAGAACTAGATTAGTATTACTTTGATCAGAGCTGTGAAGCTGGAGGTAGAAGACAGATGAAAGGAAAATCCGCCATGCATTGAGATATACCTAGAAAAGAAAATATTGCATTAGACTGACCGGGGGCTGGAGAAATATTACAGCAGGGAGGATGCTTTCCTTCACAAGGCCAAACCAGGTTCAATCCCCAGCACTCCATATGGTTCCCCAAACTTGCCAGGAGTAATCCCTGAACACAGAGCCAGGATTAACCTCTGAGAATTTTTGGGTGTGACCCAAAAACCTTAAAAATAAATATATTTGACTGTCCAGAATGGAAAGGTGACTGTAGAAGCTTGATAAAGGTTTAGTTTTGTTTTTAAATGATAGACTTTGCCCATAGATAAAATGTTGACAGACTATTTTAGAATATCAAAGTGAGTTGTAGAACTGAGGGAGAAAAATGGAGTTGAGACTGGTGAGGATATTAATCTTTTTGCACCATGAAAGTGAATGAAAAAACTATTGATGCAAATGGATGAAGTCTTGTATAGGTTGCAAAAAAAAAAAAAAAAGAAAAACAAGTAACACTGCAATGGCTACATTTAACTGCATAGTAGAGGTCATTTGAAAATAACAGAGTACTTGAACCAGAAGGGTTGCTTGACATTGTGAGGCCCAGCAGAAGCGTTTTTGCTTTAGGCAAAATCAGTGTTCGTTAAAATTATCAACTGATCTGATGACCTTAACATTTTTCACGAACTTTAATGAGCAAATATCACATTTCATACGATTTAACAAAATCTCTTATAAGATCCATTGTTCTTACACCTTGATTTAATCATAATAAAATGTCTGTAGTAAGTGCACATACGACTTAACAAGTGCTAAGTACTAAAGATTCTAGAAAAAACAAAGGGTAAAAGAGGGTATAAGTATTGGGTGTAGCATTGTTTGGCAAGGTAGTTCCTATTTTTTTGGCTTCTGTTTTTGTTTCCAGGCTACTCTGGGAAGTTCTCTGGGTTTATATCTGGGTATATGCTTAGGAATCACTCCTGATAGTAATCAGGGACGCATATGCAGTGATGGGGATGTCTACTTCACCAGTCCAGTTATAGATTTTTAATAGTCCGTCACAAAAAGAAACACAATTGACAATTCATTCCACTCCTCTCCACACTATGTAATTTCATTTTGCAACAAGGGGGTGAGAAAGTGCCCACTTTCCATCCATAAAAATATAACCCAAACTGTAGAAACATTAGTAAGCTTTAAAATTAAATTTGACATTTTAGTAAGTTATGAATCAGAAAAGTTCACTATCTGGCAACAGGATCGAGAAGGAGCAGAAGTCAAGCCCATAGGACAACACCTATGTAATTGTCTCCACCTTGAATTCTCTTTACCTTATAACCACATGAGATAGCAGTAAATACGTACACACATACATACATAAATGCATGAATGAATAATGCACTCACTGTGTACCTGCTCCACTCAGGAATCCCTTTAATCATGACAGCTCTGCAGACAGAACTCAAATGAAAAGAACAAGAGTTGACTCCATTGTTCTTAGACTTGTATATTTAATTTTGGGGAATTAATTTTTTTAAGATGCCACAAGTATCTTTTTTCCTGATGGATTATCCAAAGTTTAAATGACATTTATTATGTATCTTATACAACTCATACCAAAACATCTATATTTGTTCTAAGATTAAATATAACATGTTGGAGCAAAATGCCATGATTATATGAAAGCTGAGAGTTACAAGGGAAGTGGTTTGGCAAACTCAGTGCAGTTACACGCACTCCTACAGTTTTTTATCTTTAAGGATCACTTTTTAGAAAGGCACAAAAACAAAAAGTCCACTGAATGCCTTTTGTAGAAACACCATATTCAGAAGTCATACAGGCCCTCATTTAAAAATATATAGCTACAAGTTCCACATTTTGGTGAAAATTCTAACTCTTCTTTAGGAGATTTCAATTTAAATTAAAGTTCAAAAAAGCCATCAGTTGATAAAATGATTTGTTAGTTTCAAAAATTAAGTATGAAACATAACTGAACACAAACATAAACTACAAGGGCTTGAGGGTACAGAGGGTACTTTGCTTGCCTTGCATGTACCTGACTATGGTTTGGTCCCACCCATCACCCCTATGTGGTCCACTGACTCCACTGACTCCTGCCAGGAGAGATGCCTGAAAAGAGTCAGGAGTATGCCTGAATACTGCTGAGAGTGGCTGAAAATTAAAAAAAAAGAAAAAGTATATATATATATATATGTGTGTGTGTGTGTGTGTGTGTGTGTGTGTGTGTATGTGTGTGTGTGTAGCAATAACAGTATATGAAATATTTTTTAAGATAAAAGACAGAATGAGGTCTTCATGTATAACTGTTGCTGTTTTACTAATATGCATAACTACTTTGAGAGAAAAAAATGTGAAAGAATAGGATGCTCGTTAATTCAATTACCTAAAGAAAGGACTCTCCTATATTAATCAAGTACCAAAGAAAATGGTTAAGAAATTGATGTAAAAAATCACAGTAAAATTATTTGACTTCAACAACTAAAATGTGAAAAACAAATTCTGCAACTATATGGTTATTTTAAATTTTAGCAAGATAGAATTTTACTCATGCTACTTTTTTTTTCTTCAGTAGATGATAAAAAAAAATGTCACCTACTCTGTTAGGTCATGACTTCACACTGAAAAAAATAAAAGCTGTAGATGGGGAAATTTGGCTGAATAAACAGTGTTGCTTCTGTGATTCTGTTAAAAATGTTGTTTTGATACCATAAGAATCAGCTGAGGAGACAGTGATTGATGTCGTTTATAAGCTCATTTTTGCTTTAAAGGCTAGATTAAAAATATGTTTGTAAATATGAAACTCCATAATAAATCCTCATACAGTTTTAGTTTCATCCCGTTAAAACCAAATGACTTTTAAGAAAGGAAATTTTTTCTGGAAATACTGCTAATTAACAATGGACATTTTGTTTTTTTAAGAAATTAAAATCCTGGAAGAAAACACGGAACTGGAAATTGCTTTGAAAAATATTCAGTTACCAAAGGAGGAAATTAAGAAATTGGAAGTGGATGAAATTAGTAAGATCTTTTAAACACTTTTTATTTATAGGTATAGTGATGAATGCTTATCATGCTTTCAAAACAGTTAAAGGGCATGTATTGCAGTCCAAAACCTATGAAACTATAAGATTTCAATTAAAATAGAGATTCAAAAAACATATTTAATATGTTTGTGAATAAGTTTGTTCTTATGCTTTCTGTCTTTCCACTTCAATGAAGGCAGCACTTTAAACAGAACTTTCCTAATTTTAATTTTAGAATTGTGTCTCAGGAACAAACATTGGTTTAATATGCCTAGTTACTTTTTAATTAGACAAAATATGTAACAAATTCAAATTTGTTAAGTTTAAAACATTTTTATTTTAAGTAATTTAATATTTATAAATTGACTTTATGGTATACATTGTTTTAGTATTATTCCATAACTTGTGAAATAGTATTTTTTCTTTTTTTTTCCTAAAGCTTTATGGTACAAGATGATTCTTCCTCCTCAATTTGACAGATCAAAGAAGTATCCCTTGTTAATCCAAGTGTATGTAATATTTTCTTTGGTGTAAAACTATTTACTGAAAATATGTTGGATTAAATACACACTTATGAGATAGAATGAACCATTCTCCTTGGTAACAGTTCCTATTGATGCTGTTTTTATATATTCCACAACTAATCAGAGTAAATAAAATATGGCTATTTAAAATAGATTGAGGGAGTTTTGAGGTTTTAGATGGACTTGCTTGCATTTGTTGTGTTGAATTTCCTTTGTATGGCAAATTGCCGAATGTGTCAAAATACCTTTGAAGTAGAGAAATTACAGCCAAAAAATATTGTAAATCATCTTAACATCTTATGTAATTGAGTTAGAAATGAAATAAGGGAATGGAATACATTTAGTGGAATCACACCCAAAATCAGTGCTGACCTACACACAATTTGCTTAAAACACCAGGCATTTTTTTTTAGTATATCTTATGCCTGCTTTTAGCAAGTGGCAGGTGGCAGAAATGACGAAAAACCCACACATATTCCTTGAAATGCCAACCCTAGATGTATCCGTTTTGGGGAATAGGAGAGGCTGTGTCCCAAAACAACTTCCTTGTAGCAAACCTCTGGGAAAAGCCTGATCCTGACTTGATTTTGTGCCAATTTTAACTCCATTGTTATTGAAATTTTATCACACAAATGGATTGGAAAATACTAAAGGCAACTCCAGGTCACAATGGGAACATGAGTTTCACAAAGGCATCAGAATTTATCTTATTTTTTTTTCTTTTTTTCATTTAGGTATGGTGGTCCCTGCAGTCAGAGTGTAAGGTCTGTATTTGCCATTAGTTGGATATCTTATCTTGCAAGTAAGGAAGGGATAGTCATTGCCTTGATAGATGGGCGAGGAACAGCTTTCCAAGGAGATAAACTCCTCTATGCAGTATATCGAAAACTGGGTGTGTATGAAGTTGAGGACCAGATCACAGCGGTCAGGTGAGCATCTTCTCATTCAAACAGGAGTTGGCATGCGACAAAAGCAAAGTATGCAATCATATTCTGAGTTCTTTTTATCTATTCTCCTAACTTGGTCTAAAACTACCTTGAATTTTAAAGGGATATTTTTGTTCGATCTAAAAATATGTAATTTTTGGGAGAAAGCTAATAAATGTGTAGAAAAACATTTATAGAGACAAACGACAAATATCCTTTTATGGATATGTCAGTAATTTTAGCATCTTTTCATCTACTTATATGTCTCAAATTAGCAGAAGTTTTTGAAGACATCTATTGATGGTCTGCAAAAAACCTAATATCAAACTTACTCAAGCACTATGAGTTCTACCACAAACATTTAGAAAAGTCTCAAGATTTCATATGTTCTACATTATTTTAGAAGTTGCTAATTCATTGCTGATTAAACTAGCTGCGGAACTTGGTTATGTTACCTTGAAGGTAGTTTCCTGTTTTCATTTGACAAAATAATTTGTATTATATAATGGAAAATGTGTTATGAAACATTTAGAGGAAAGACAGATTTATAATCTGAGTTCTTCCCAACTTCTGAAGCACAAAATTGCTATAAATAAATATTCCTCAATCATCTTATTCTAAAATAAAAAGAATATAGTTACCTAAATTGTTGCTTATTTGGAAACACTGAGCAGAATTCTTATGAATAATTCTTATAGCTGTGGAGGTTTTGTTATGGTATAAATAGATGAGGTTAGAGAATACTTCCTTGTACATTTGAAAGTTAACACACTATTTCACTCTTGGTCATGGATATATATGCGTGTGTATAATAGTTAAGATAAAAATGTTTTGCAGAAAAGAGCAATTTAGAACATTTACTAGTACATTTCTTTTTATTATCCTAATCTAATTAATAATTATTAATTTAAATGCATCATATGCGACACAGATTGTATTTTACAGCTAGGAGTCAGGCCCAGACAACACTCTACTGTATTTTTGTCTCTAAGCAAAGCAGAAGAATTTAGACTCACAAGTGATTATTTTTCAAAATCATAACCCATATGTTTTCATTTTTTTCTTTCATTCTGTGAACATAATACACACAATTACACACAAAATATTCTACTGAAAACAAAGTTTATTTAAGTAAAATCTGACAGATTAATAGATTATTTAAAAACATTCAATCTGTAAGCAATATTTACGCCTACTTTCTAGGAGGCAACATTTTTCTTACGGATCCAGATTTTTAGTCTTTCCCTTATACTTTTGTTTGGGAGAGTCTTCTTCTGCCTGATGGAGAGACAGAAGAGATAATTCAAAAAAATACTCCACAAGAGATCAATTTCTCATGTGAAGACTAATGTGCCTCAATAGAAATATTAACACAGTTGTCAGCATTAAAAAATTCACTCAGGGATTTTTTTTAGTCTCTGTAGACCACATCTAAGGACTTATAACCCTGAGTTTACATGAAAGGCAGAAATGCAAATTATGTCTCATTTACAATTCAAATAGATCTTTTCTGACGTTAGTGAAGCTAAAATATGATTTGCTTTTGTATTGGTTAGAAAACCATCATTAAAATTATTATCAACATTATTGTCATCATTATCATAATCTGTTAATAAAAACCTATGAAGACTAGCAAGATAATTATATCTTTGTGTTTTTCTTTATCATCAAAAATGCATCATTCAAATTTAAGGATATCTAGAGGAAACAGATAGTATGATGCCTTTCTTAGATGAAATGAAATTTTAAACCTGAGACCCGTGTATAAACCTTAACAAATTTGTTATTGCTCATGTTTAATGTACAGGACATGAAACCATAAATCCTACCAATTTTCATAACAACACATTTTTGATACTTAACATTGCATGTAGATTAGTTGTGGTAATTGGCTCCCTTTACCTTCTCTGAGCTGTTTTCAAGATGGAAGCTGAATATGTCTGCCCTATAGATGATATGCTCTATAGATGATATCACCTATATCATCTATAGAGCAGGCTTCTTCTAACTCTCAAAACCTTTCAATAACAATAGATCAGAGTTTGACATTGCAACACAGTCGATATAAAATTATACAGTGGTCACAAATTTCAGTGTAAAATTGCCGTACATTCAGTATAAAATTGTCAGTTTACAATCTCTTCTTTTGATGTACTTACAATTTGCTAATACTACATACAGAATGCTTCCTACTTATAGAAAGCATTATTGTTAGATGGAAACTTTTAGTATGTACACTAATAAATAAGGGTGGATATAGAGACCATGACTAATATATATATATATATATATGCAAAAGAGAGGTATCAATTGGAGTTGGTGTTTATTTTTTAAGCCAAATTTCATTTTTTTTAATTCATCAATTATAGGACATACCCAGCTGTGCTCAGGGCTTACTCCTGGCTCTGTGTTCAAGGATCAATCTGGGCATTGCTTAGGGAATGATAAGGGGTGCCAGGGATTGAACCCTGAAGCCCAGTTGGCTATATGCAAGGCAAACACTCTACCTGCTGTACTATTTCTTCGGTCCCTTAAAACCAATATTCTAAAAACAGTGAAAGGAAAGCCTTGGAGTCATATGTTTTGATAAAACAAAAGTTATTAAAAATAGATTTGTAAAGGTTATCCTGGGAATAGTTTAACATCTCCCAGGAATTATTTAGAGAACCAGACATTGAATTTTTAGAAAATTGGAACTATAATACCCCCCTAAAATCCTCAAATTTTGCATTTTCTTTTCCCAAATATATGGCACAAAGAATAATAAAATTTGCTCCATTGAATTTCCTATTAAAAACCAGTCTACCTAAAATAATTATACACTTTTTGAAACAACAGTAAATAAGGCTGATAGATTTGAACAAAGCAAAGCAGGAAAAAAATACTACTACATTCTGATTTTTTTTTTTTTGGTACAAAAGAGAATGAATACTTTAAAGGGAATTTTATAAGAGCAAAAGCATATGAAGCTTGTACCCTGTTATCATCAGGCCTCTCTGGAAATAATACATATGTAAAACTTATAAACTTTGGTATTTAGATGATAAACTTGCTTATTTGGGGTATATTTGGAATTTTTGACTCTGGTACTAATTTAAAATTGTATTTAATTTGGTTCACTAATTCTGGGGAAGAATTATATAAGAAAAAAAGTTATTATATCATACTGCTATAGATGGCACCAATAAGAACTATCCCTAAATAGTATAATAATTGATCTTTGATCTAAGACAGACTTTTATGAGAAAAAACATGTGAAGTACAGCCCAACCTCCAAGATTAGAAAAAATCTATTTTTAATTTGCCTTAACATTTTGTTGCTTTAACTGCATTAGCAACAGTATTTCTGATAATCTCCCTAGAAACTCTTTAAAATTTGGAGATATATTTTATAGAGACTTGTTGATTTCACGGAGATCAGATTATCTAGCTAACATTTAACCTAGACCTGCCACATTAAGTGTTAATGTTTTATTTCTGTTCTAACTATTGCACTATTGTTTCCTGTAAATGTCATCCTTATAGAATAAACCTAGGAAGGAAGCTTTTAAGCATTTCCTGTTCCCATGTGTCACCTGTCATTTGCTTTTCTCCCAGATGCAAGGAAATATGATTGTTAACTTCTTAGAGATCATAAAATAGTGATTGATTTTATTGCATAGAGCTGTTTTCAAGCCCCAGTGACAGGATTATTTTTTAACAAGGGAATCTTTCCTTCTTTATTTTGGTTTTTGAAGTTTGTGGAATATTTGTCAAAGTGCCACAGTTTGTTACACATTTTCTCTATCTTATAATGAATAGCATGTACCTAGGTAGCAACTTTCCACTTTCAACTGCATTTCTTCCTTGCAGACTCCTCAGTGTCCCAAAGAATCAGTGTAGGGTAAGCTGTGACTGACGGGGCTTCTTCCCATCTGTTTGTCCCGGGCACTTGCCCAATTCCTCTATGCATGGGAAATATGCATGTTGAAATCAACGCAAGGAGCAAAATGGTTGCTGTGAAATCCCTTTAAGAATGCTCCTGTCTCCATTAGTTATAATGACAACCACTCCCGCCTATTTCCAGAGAAGAATAAGAAAGGGCATTAATGAGAAAGGGCATTAATGTAACTGAAGGTCAAAAAAGGTATATTTCCTGTGGTCTGTGTGCCACATTGGTCTCTACCAATGATACATTCACACTCAGGCCTCTGCAATGGTTTCTCCACTTTCTGTTTTATATTACTGCTTCTGCATCTCTTAGAGTTTCCTGGTTTTCTATCATACTATATTCCAAATAAATCACCAATCCCTAGAATATCAACCCCAAAGAACATATAAATCAGCCTGAAGCACTCTTATTTTGTATCAACTTTACAAAGTTGTATTTACCATGACTTCTCATAACCTTTCATTTAATTTACTTATTTTTATTTGGGAGCTCAGAGACTACCCTTATTTCAGCCAGGTGCTCCAGGATCTCTCTCAGTGATGCAAAGAGAACCACAGCTCCTGGTCCCCATTTGTTTCAAACATTTTTTTTCTTTAACATTATCCCACATATCTAGAGAAAGATTTCTTTTTAAATTCATTTTCAGGGCTGGAAACTAGTACAGAGTTTAGGGTGCATGCCTAGCAAGCATCAGGTTTGATTCGAGGCATCACATGGTCCCTTGAGCATTGTCTGTAGGACACAGAGCCCCTCTGGTGTGGCCCTGGAGGCCTCCAGCACTGCTAAGGTGACTCAGGTGTGCCATCACAACAGGATTCCTGGAGTGTTTCATTCTTACTGCCCTGAACCACTGGTCTATTTGTCCAAGAATTGCCAGTAGGGCTCTACTATGATCAAGTTCAAATGAATCATTTCCATATCCTGAATCATGCAGTTGTCTATATTCTGATAAATTGAGAGTATGACATTTAAGTATGATATGGAAGAGGAATAGGTTGCTTAAATGTGAGTAAAAATGAGATGGTGGTTATTCTTGCAGTGTTAAGTGAACAAGATAGTAATGAATTTAAAACAGCAGCAACAAAAATCTTGATTGCAAAAGCTGTAGATTTTAAAATGTGGTCTTATTTTTTATGTTTCTATGAACCTGTCTTTTTGACCTTTCTGAATATTAAAAAACTGAAGTCATGCATTTCAGATAGGAGACTTTACAGCCTTGAAATTTCACTTAGTAGAAGTAGAACAGACTTTAAAAGATGACATGATAATATTCTTAATTATTTGTAAATGCAGCCACATTATGCATGTGTTTAAACAAAGAAAATGTAGCATTTCTATTAAATTTTTGGATTAAATATGCTTGTGTAATTAAGTAAATGTCATGTGTACACACTTAAAATTCTAAAAATTTGTTTCTTTAACTTTAGAAAATTCATAGAAATGGGTTTCATTGATGAAAAAAGAATAGCCATATGGGGCTGGGTGAGTTGTTTTATATATTTATGCCTGTTATTCAGCTCAGCAATCATCATTTTATCATGTTCGCTTATAAGGTTTCTCATGAAATGTTAATGTTGTAACATAATTTAATCTGTCAGTGGAAACAGTCAGTTCAGATAATCTGGGTCTAAAAGTGGTGGGTTCAAGTATTTGTTTCTTTTTTAAAATCTTTCAAGGTTTTCCTTGTATTATAAATCAAGTCATAATTGATAATTTTTCTTGTATTTCAATTTCATGAAAAATAAAGTGATTGAAATTAAAAGAAGTTTCAGAGTATAAATTCCTTAGAACATATCAGTTTTGTTTTGAATATATATCCAGATGTATATATTCTTATATAAATGTCAATATATCATCAAAATTCTTTTGTAACACAATGTTAATTCATGCTAACTTGAGGAAAGTATTAAAGTATAGGTCATGGAGAAAGTTTCCTATGTTTGAGGAGTCACAGATTTTTAAAAAATGTAAGGGCTGGAGCAATAGCACAGCAGGTAGGATATTTGCCTTGCATGCAACCGACCTGGGTTCGATTCCCAGCATCCCATATGGTCCCCGAGCACTGCCAGGAGCAATTTCTGAGTGCATGAGCCAGGAGTAACCCCTGTGCATCGCCAGGTGTGACCAGGAAAGAAAAAAAAAGAAGTGCATGGGAATGAGTCTGGGAGGGGTCCTTAGAAAACTGAGAGAAGCAGGCTCTCTGGTGATAGAGCTGGTGTGAAAGATGTGTGCATGAAAAATGCAATTAATAGTATTATAAATCCTGATAGTTTAACTAGATGGTTAAAAAAAAGGAGGGACAAAACATCAATTTTGGGCAATGAGGCTTCACTGGAAAGTATAGAAAATATTGGAAGGAATTTAGCTTTGCCTGTAATTATTCTCCTAAAATTTCCTGTTTCATTTTTTGGTCTGAATTTGCACATTTGCAACAAGTCAATTTGCAACAGTTGCAGTTGGGTTGTTTTTCTTGTCTGTTTACTTGGCCTGCACAAGATGGAGGGAATGAAACTCAATATTGAAGTGAAGTTGTAACATTTGACTCAATTCTCAGCTGAGTGGCCACATGAGGGCGGTTTCGAATTTGTGGAAATTTGTTACTTCAAGTCACTTGGTCCTCTTAAAACTATCAAATACTCAAAGACTCTATTTTCAGGGATCATTTTCATAGTTCATAAAACTATCAAATAGTTAATATAAAGATAAATGAAATCAAAATAAATAAAATGCATTTATAATAAGGTATTTCAGATAAGAGTTTCCCTATCAACCATTTTTTAGGAAATTTCCTAAAGCAAATTGCCAGTGTAGCTCACAGCTTGCCCTGGGTCCATCCAGACCCTGGTGAGGACGCTGCTTTTGGGGTGCTAGGAAATAAGGGCAACTGAAGCTTAAGTCTGGAAAACAGATGCTCCAGAGTGAATATCATTTGGAGTCAATTAACTCCCAAGTTACAAAGGCATAGCATTAACTGTCTTCCTGCTTCCATACAAAAAAAAAAAAACCTTTGCTCTGAATTAACTATGCAAAGGACTTAAGGGGAAGAGAAAAACAATATTTACAAGTTAACAGATTAGGAGATAAAGGTGATTGACTGGTTGGGAAAGCGGAGCACAAAGAAAGAGATTACAAACACAGAGGAATGGGAGCGCTGTGATGAGAGTAACCCAATAAACCTAAGCTTCCTGTGGCAAGGCAGAAAGGACACCAATGTTACCCCACAAAGCAAATGATTCAAAAATTTAAATTTTCAAGCTAGAAAATTGATTTCATCATTAATATTGATCTAACAGCTATAACTTAGCTTTTGGAGCTGAGCTTTAAAAACAAAGTGAAACCTTCAATTTTATTACTAGAAAATTCTAAAAGTTATTATTAGTTTTGTATGATCTAATACAAGATGGAATGATTTAAGGATTTCACCAATGACCTCAAAATAATTAGTATAAACCTGAAATTTTTCTGTGAGATTCTCACTGTGTTTCTGAAAATACTTTTGAATGAAAGAGTGCATTGATGCCCTTTTTGTGTTTACTTTGCACAAATGATTTGGCAATGATTATGAGGTGCATCCCAATAATCTCTGCGCATATGTAAGAGAATGAATAATAAATGTATTGCCAATGTCTAGGTATCTAAGAAATGAAAAAAAAGACCTTATTAAAAGACCTATACAGTCTTTTAATTCATTCTTTGGGTTATAGAAAAAAGTATATTTATTATTACATCCAGTTTATCATTGATACATTTATTCCCTCATCTATGTGGTACATTTTTATTGGACCCCAACTTGGGTCTGATATAGGATATTTTAGGTGATAAAAAGATAAATTCTGGGTCTCTCACATAGAAAATAGCAAATGGCAACTGCCTAGCAATATTCCAACTGTGGTCAGATAAATCATGTGGAGAGAATTAGGTAGAAGAGTAAATTTTGACTGTAAGAGCAAAGGAAGGAATGAGAAAAAAACAGTTGCATTTGAGCTTAGCTAAGTAGCTTAGTAGTAAGGCATTGCAGGGAAAGTGAAGACAGTATTGCCCAGATACCAAAGTAATAGATAATGTCATACATAGGGACTTTGAGTTAGTTAGGAATGCTTCATACTTAAGATGCATAGGTTTATGAAGAAGGCAGTATAAAGATAGTACAGAGTTTAAGGCATCAGCTTCATATCAAACTCCAGTTCTAAGTCTGGCACCACATGGCACCTGAGCAATGCTCAAGCACAGAGGTCAGAGTGGTCCTTAAATGTCACCAGGTGTGGCTGCAACTGCCTTCCCTCACAAAATAACGGTGTGGAAAATGAATCTGGATAGATTGTTAAGAGTAGGCTTTTATTCTGTTTTGTTTTAAACTGTTTTTAGGGTTTTTTAAAAAATTTATATTGCTTGAGGCACTGAGAACTCATCTGTGGGTCAATTCTCTGCTTGTTTTGCGCTGCTGATTAGCTTTAAGTTCCACATATGAGAGAGATTATTTTGTATCATATTTTCTTCTGACTAAACACACTCAGTATGATATCTCCTAGTTTCATCCGTATAATGACAAAATGAATTATTTTTTCTTTTCTTAAAGCTGCATATTATTCCATTGTGTATACATAAATCCACAACTTCTTGATCCATTTATTCATAGTTGGACATCTGGGTTGTTTCTATTACTTGGATATTGTACTAAGATCTACGGAGAACAGAGGCATGCATATATTTTTTTAAAGTAAAGCTTTTGTATGGGGGGTGGGGTAGATGATCAGAAGGAGTTTCACTGGGTTGCATGGGAGATCTATCCTTAATTTTTGAGAGTTAGACATATTTCTTTCCATAGAGGTTGAACCAGACAATATTCCCACCAACAGGATGAAGCCTCCCTTCTCACTACAACCCTGCCAATACTGGTGATTTCAAAACTTTTTTGATATATGCCATTCTCACTGGCATGAGATATCTCAGTGTTGTTTTGATTTGATTTGCATTTGCCTATTCATGATTGATGAGCACTTTTTCATGTGGCCTAATAGTCATTTGTATGTCTTCTTGGAGGAAATGTCTGTTTACCTACACTTCCCATTTTTGGAAGGAATTGTTGGATTTTCTGTTATTGAATTTTTTGGGAGCTTTAAAGATCTTGGATATTAGCTCTTTCATTAATTTATTGTGTACAAATATTTTCTCTCATGTAGCAGGGTGTCTTATTATAGCTTGAGTTTCTTTTGCTGTGCAGAAGCTTTTTAACATGGTTTTGTCCCTTTTGTTTATTTTTGTTTTTGTTGTCATTATTTTTGTGGCCATCTCATTGAAGACACATGTGGAATTTATTTCCTGAAGAGTTCTCACAACTTTTTCATCAGTATACAAACACTGTCCTCCCGTTGTTCATCGATTTGCTCGAGCAGGCCCAGTAACATCTCCATTTTTTGAGACTTGTTGTTACTGTATTTGGCATATTGAATACATCACAGGTAGCTTGCCAGGCTTTTGCCATGCGGGCGAGATAATCTCGGTAGCTTGCCGGGCTCTCCGAGAGGGGTGGAGGAATCGGACCCGGCTCAGCTGAACTGGCTGCGCGCAAGGCAAACGCCCTACGTGCCGTGCTATCTATCGCTCCAGCTCTTCTTCAGTATACTTTATGTATTTTAGTCTAATATTGAGATCATTAATCCACTTTGTGGATGGTGTGATATACAGTTCTAATTTTAGTTTTTTGCATGTAGTCATCCAGTTTTCCAACATAATTTATTGAAAATACTTTATTTGCTATATATTATAAACTTAATTTCTTTGTCATAGGCTGTCCATAAATCTAGGGGCTTAACTCAGGACTCCCAATCCTATTCTGTTAGTTGGGGGGGGGGGTCTATCTATGCACTAGTACAATGAAGCTTTGATTATTATACCGCTTTGTAGTATAGTTCAAAGTTGTGAAATACAATAGCTGCATCTACTTCTCCCCTCACCCCCCTTAGATTTCTTTGGTCATTAAGGGAGCTTTAGAATTCACACAAATTTCAGTAAAATTTGTTCCAAGTCTTTGAAGAATGTCATTGGAATTGTAATGGATATTGCATTAAATATGTATAAAATTTGGGGTAGAATAGACATTTTGACAATGTTGATTCTTTTATCCACGAACAGGGAATATCTTTTCAATTCCTTGTATCCTATTTCTTTTACCAGTGATTTTCAGTTCGCACTGTATAAGTCTATCTTCTACCTCTCATGTTAAGATGATTGCTAGGTATTTGATGTTTGAGGGCATTATCTTGAGAAACACTTATAATTTTTTTTACTTCACTATTTGCAATCACAGATTTTGTGTATTAATTTTGTAAATGGCTACCTTACTATATTGAGTTTATTATTTCTAAGAGTTGTTTTTTTTTGTTTTTGTTTTTGGTGGAATCTTCAGAGTTTTCGAGGTTCTTTTATCAAAAATTCTCATTTAATACTTCAGGATGAAGGTCTGAGAATTTGCATTTGTAAAG